CAGGGCTAGCTGGGCGTGGTGGCACATGCCTTTCATCCCAGCACTCGGGAGGCAGAGGCAGGGGGATCTCTGTGAGTTCAAGGCCAGCCTGGTCTACACAGCAAGTTCCAGCCCAGATGTAGCTATAGGGAGACCCTGTCTCAAAAAAGACCAAAAAAAAAAAACAGGGCTAAAGAGGTGGCTCAGCACTGGCTGCTCTTGCAAGGACCTAAGTTTGGATCCCAGCACCCACATGGCAACTAACAACCATCCATAACTCCAGTCCCAGGGGATCCGACACCTTCTTCTGACCTCTGAGGGCACTGCATGACTCAGGTGCACCTACCTACATGCAGGCAAAACACTCATAACACTTAAAAATAAATAAAAATTTAAAACCCCAGGGCAACAAAGATACTGAGGGTAGGGATGAAAAGCAGACAAGGACTTGTGCAAACTGAGCAATGGGCTGAGAGTTCATCTCTTCCCATTTACTTTGTAGAGAGTGGAATTTGACATATTTGCCATTATAAAAAACCAAAGAAAAACTGTCAAGGACAGTAAAGCACAAAGGACATGCTCCTGGAAATTCCCAAAGCTCACAGATGATAAAGGATCACTAGGATACCCAAGTGTCCAAACCAACCATGCTTGCTCCATATATGATCAAAAAGCTGTTTATACACTCAAGCCTAAATTTCTGGTTATACTGTACAGTGCAACCTATACATTATAACACTATGCTTATAGGAAGTGTATAAAAAGAAACCCTTTTTTTGTCTTTTTGAGACAGGGTCTCCCTGTAGCCCCAGCTGGCCTGGTGCTCACTATGTAGACCAGGCTGGCCTCAAACTCACAAAGATCCGCCTGCCTCTGCCTCCCAAGTGCTGGGACTAAAGGCATGCCCCACCATGCCCTGATAAAAAAATCCATCTTAAATTAGGAATTAAATCATCCCCTGCAACATTCCTTTCTGTGATATTAAATATTTTCTTGTAACAATTCTTAGAATCTCAATTATAACATATTTAGAAAGTACCCCAGGAGTTGAGACTACAGCTTGCTACCCATGAGTGCCTGAGTTTGGATCCCCAGTACCTACATAAAAACTGGGTGTGGTGGCATACTCTGTAACTCCAGCACTGGAAGGAGCAGAGAGAGGATCTCTAGGGCCTGCTGATGTGGTGGCACACACCTGAAATCCCAGCACTTGGGAGGCAGAAGGAGAATCAGGATCAAGGTCATCCTCTGCTACATACTGAGTTCAAGGCCAGCCTGAGCTACATGAGATCCTGTCTCAACAAAGTATATCAGCTGGTCAGGGTGTGGTGGAACACTCCTGTAATCCCAGCCCTCTGGAAGCAGGAGGATCCCCCGGCATGAGGTCAGGCTGGGGTGCATGGTGAAGCACTGTCTCAAAAAAAAAAGAGTAAAACAAAGCAACAAAAAACCCTCAATGTGACATTTTGAAATATAAATTATATCAAATCTCAGCTTTGTTAGGTAGTGTATAAAGCTGCATAAAGTTTATAAAGTATGTAAAGTTGTAATGTATGTATTGACATTACAATGTATCTGCCTTTCAGAGAAAAGGGACTAGGATCTAGCTGCAGAAAGAAAACATAGTATCAACAGGTGTGTGGGGTGAGGGGGCATGGCTCTTAGAGGGAAATGAAACCTTTACCCTGCCTGATCATCCTCTTACCTTCGCCCCTGATCCAGTCGTCCATGAGGACCCCGAGCAGGAAATCTGTTCAGGTGGCTCAGGTGAAGTGTGTGGGATGTTTGGAAGAGACTCAGAGCTGTAGAGAGGAAATGGCCAATGATTCAAATGCCCTAAGACCTATCCAGCTTCCTCCTCCTCCTCTTCCTGTACAGGGAAGTGCCCACTTCAATTTTGAGAGCAGCTGTCTAAAGGTAACAAATCTATCCCATTTGGCCATACCCCAACATGCATGCTACCAGTACTCACGCTTCTGAGGAAAGAGTGGGGGAATCCGGTGAGGCTGAAAGATCAACTGGGGCTGAGCTCCCAGAATCCCTTGCTTCTGGCCCAGGGCTGCCACATGCAGAAGGGGAGGTGCTGGAGACTTCAGTAAGGGCTGAAGGACAATAACCATGAAGTTCAGGCGATCCCAGAATCAATGTACTCACTATCATGGGAAGATGGCAGTTGTGCCCCCTCCCCCCCAACAAAAGCAAGGATTTTGCCCAAAAGTCAGGGCACAGGGCTTCCATCCCTTCCTCCCTCCCCAATGCACACATCTAGGAGACAAATACCTGGTTGGAGAGCGTCTGCACCTTGACAGCATTCCAGGGTACTGCCTGGCCTGGGTTGTATGCAGCCTTCACCAGCACCTTCTCACCCAGCTGGGGCAGTCGGCCCTTCACCACACTGCCAGCACATAAACCAAGAAGCCTTATCAGAGGAACTCTGGACAAGCCACCCTGATCGCCCCCAGGAAGCCCTTCCCATCAAGACTTCTGAGCCCCTGCATAAAAATAGCAAAGCAATAGCTTTAGAGAGGGGCCCCACCAGCATGGAAACAGAACTGAATCCCACAAGCATTTCCAACAGGAGACTAGCCTCAGGCCTACCTTAGCTGAAAAAAGACTTCTTCATCTACCACCCCAAAGTAGTCATGCAAGCTGGTAACAATGCCAGTGAACACCCGTTGCTTCTCCCCTCCCTGCAAGAGAAGACAGCAGGTTGGAAGCAACCTGAACAAAATCATGCTCTGCCAGGAGGGCCTCATTTTTACCTACAAGGGTCCCAGCTCAGAGGATCATGGGGAAATACACATGGAAGCAAATCCAGTGGACACAACCTATCTACAGAGAGGGGATGAGCTAATTCTTGACTTGCATGGTTCTGGAATTTTCAGTTCTTTAATCCCCAAGAGGCACCCTAAAGATCTCCCTGGAGCCAGATATTAAAGACTGCCCAGTCTGAGGGGTTTCTAAGCACTGGCCCACTACCAGGGCTGAAAAAAGGAATGCTGACCACTAATACATGAATGTGCACCAGGCATCCAAACATGCTGTGGTAATCCCAAAGGGCCAATTGACAGACACCCAACCTACCTGAAGGTGTCTGGCATTTTGGGACAGGTCTGTGGCCACAGGAGGAGTAAGCAAACCAGGAGGCGGGCCCAAAAGAGATGTTGAAGCTGCGCCTATGGGGACAGAGAAGCAATCTCCAGGAACTGCACCTACTACCTTAAGCACTAGAGACAGTCGATCTGATAAGCCAAGAGCGCCAACCAGCTCCTCCTCAGGCATCCAGGAAAACCCCAAGAACCATATTCTTGGAAACTAACTCGAGCACATACTTCCCAGAGTTCAGCCAAGTAGGGAGAAGAGTGATCACCTGAGAAGTTTCGTCCCCCTGGAAGTGGGTTGATCCTCTGGCGCTTAAACTGGGACATTGGGAATGAGGTCCTCTTTCAAAGTCTTCAGGGAAAACCTTCAATCAGAAAAGACGTTAACTTCAATCTATGGCCATAAAAATGAAAAATCTCAAGGAAGCTCTTAAGATGAGGTGAGTTCTGAAAATGGAGAGGATATAGAGAGCAGGAAATGAAATGGGAAATTATTCCCGTCTGTCCTTACAATAACCTACTGGTGGGTGCTAGTGACATGCTGTTTTACAGGGGAGGAAACTGGAGTTTGGAGATCAGGAGACTTGCCCCAGGCCACAAAACCAGGTAGTGACAAAGTGGGACTCACACCTCGGTCTCCCAACATCTTAGCCCTCCTTTCCCGATGCCACTGCCACCCTCTGAGAGGTTGGCGGGGTGAAGGGCTGGAAGCGCTCGGTTGACATTCATTCATTCAAACACATCCGCCAAAACGCTCCACGTAGGGTCCGCAAAAAAATGGAGCGGCTAGCGGCGCGCAGGTGCTGCAGGCCCTCTCACCGGACGCCCGCCAGCTGTTCGCCGACCGGATGGGGCGAAGGGCGCTGTTCGGTCCGCCCGCAAACCGGCCTGTTCGCCACCCCCGGCCCCTCGATCTTTGGCCCCGGCTGCGGCTTCAGCAGCCGCCCGCGCCAAGCCTGCGGGCCGCCGAGAACCGCTGTGGGAGGACCAAGGCGCGCGGTTTCTCCTCCTCCCGCCCGCCCCCAGGGCCGAGGCCGTTGCCAGGGAGACGGAGCTTGCAGTCCGAAGGGGGCTCCGCTCCCTCCGCACCAGGTTTCGCCAACGCTCGGGGCCGCAGCCTCTCGACAGGGAGAGGCGAAGTGACAGAGTCGCGGCGGGAGGCCGCCAACCCACCTGCGGGCCAGGGCCACGACACCGGGGGGACAAAGACACCCGGAACCACCACAGCCGCTGCAGCCGCCACCACCGGAAACGCCGCTCCGGAAGAGCGACCACTGGTCGGAAGCTGCCAATCTCCCGGATATGGTCCCTCCCTCGTCTCCAGCGACCTCTCCCTTCCCCCACGCCAGCCTGCCATCCCGCGGCAACTGTGGAACGGAAGTGCGCCTTCCCAGATCGGATAATGCGTTCGGAAGCCGAGCCTCGATGGTGTCATCGCTTTAGTTGTCCCATTAGAAAAGTAGGCTTCAGCGCATTGGTTCCGGGTCCAAAGATGGCTGGAACTGGATCCCTCCCCCAAACACAAGGAAGGGACACACCTGCCTCACTCTGCAAACTCCCAAGACTAAGACTCGGAAAGAACCAGGGCCTCCGTTGATTGAAGGAGGAGCATGCCTACTCATTGGCCAAGTCTAGCAGGCATTCTTCTGTTCTGACTCAAGCCAATGATCCAGTCCTTATCCCTACCTTTCCATTGACTGCACCACCAGCAAGGCGTCATAAGCAGACCAGAAATCAGTGTACTAGTTCTCAAATATGAAACGTACCAATATCTCAATGAAATGACACACCCAACACTCCTGCCAGAAGAGTGGCCATTTTAGTACCTAACAGTTACCATACCTCTGACCTCCGCACCATCACTCTACACCAGCCTGCCTCTGGCGCCACACCCTGTCCTATTCATTTAACAGTCACAGCAAATTTTAATAGAGTTTAATGTTATTTTATCCTCATAACAAGCTTGTGAGGTAGGTAAGTCCAGCATCATCCCAAAAAGGAAGCTGTGGTTCAGAAGTTAAGAGACTTTGTTATGGTGTAAATGCAAATACCAAACACGGCAACTTAGAATTGACCTTGAAAGTTATTCTGCTACTCCCCGAATTGTTCTTGTTCTTCAGGGGCTCTTCTCCAGAGCCAAGATTCAATCCAGATGTTTTCAAATCAGTGCTATTCTGTCCCAGGGCTGCTATCTTGGATACGAGGAAGAAATTAGAAATCCATGTCAGTAACTTTCCATTGTAGAATGAAGATCAACTTTGTACTTCCAGTTGCACCAAGAAGACCAACTCCTTCAGAGATGACTGAATCATTATGCATAAACGCATATGCAACATGCTCACCCTAACAGATTACCATGCTAAACACACTCTGCGGGTGCCTGTTAAATAAGTCGGTTCACATTGCCTAAGCCCAGGGATTTCTGGCAAGGAGGAAGAGCCCTGGAACTACTGCACTTTGGATCCTTTCAGGGAACCAGGGCTCCTTGTCCATTTAGCTCAGAGGAGGACTTAGCCCTCACCCTGCTGAAGGACAAGGCCCAACCACTTTTCCTGCCTTTTCAAGGCACAGAATGAGGGACTTCATGGCAAATCCCCTCCACCCAAAGTCACCAGATGCACCAAAAGGTTATACAGAAAGATTTTTTGCTCGTGGCTTCTTAACCACTAATGATGGAATAAAAGTCTTCCGGTAGGAGCGGCACTGAGGTCTTTCAGGGAGGTTCCTGGACTCTATCCTATAGGTAAAGCAAAGGAGATGTTAGGGTAGAAAAACATGGCCTCCATGTTGGAAAGCATTGCTTACCTTCAGTGAAGAAGCTGGAAGTGTTAAACTGATGCTTCATCTCCCTGAAGAATTGCCCCCCCTCAGCATGATGGCCTTCACTCTCGGTAAAATTATTTATCTGTGCTTCTACCTCAGCCTCCCCCACGAACCCAGAATAGTGACCAAAATTTCAATGTTGAGGAGTAAGGGCTTGATGGGTAGCGATTAAGATATTTCCATAATCTGGTCATGGCTTTAGGAAGTCAATCTTCCCCAATCTGTCTAGTCTTCAGCCTCATCTATCAATGAGGCATTTTAACTACTTTCTGTTCTTTCCAGCATCTCCGCCAACACTTTGTCTCTCAAATTCCATAGAGACATAGAAAACAACTGTCAGGACAATCTCAACAGCCTCCTCCCCTTGCCCTAAACTGGACCAGGCACAAGACTCACCTGGATCCAGAACCATCAGGAGGGGCAGGAGGCTCAGGGAGTCGAGGGTTCCTCCAACGGATCCGATTGAGCAGAACCTTGACCTTGTCCCACTGGGAGAGATCCTGCTGAACAGAGGGTAAGAGGTCACCATAGAGCCCTTCCCCACATACCTATCCCTAACAAAACTCCCAGGGACTGCTATCACCACTGCCAGACCAAGTAACCTGCTCCAAATAGGAATCTTGTCATTTTCCAAAAGTTTCTGATTTGAGGGATACCTACACAAATGCTCCCCTACCCTGCACCATCCTACCATCTATCCCAAATATATCCATCCCTACCTTGTGTCCCTGGGAGGGTGGAAAAATATGGGTTGGTTCCAACAAGGCCTCAGTAAGCCTGGGAGGGTTGGTGATGAGCAGCCCCATCTCTGAAAGTGAAGCTGCCTCTGCGCCTTCAGAAAAAGAACTGCATCAGCTCGGAGCCAGGAACAGAAAGTAATCTCACTAAGCTACAGCCCAAGAGGTCTGCTGATGGGACCCTGGGCAGGCACACAAAGCAGACAGAACATGGAGGAAGATACAGTTGCCCCTCACCTGTCTCCTTTGTATGCCTCAGCAGCTCTCTGGGCCCCTGAACCTTATTGTCTGGAGTATGTGAAGGAGCCACAGCTAATTCTTCCTCTTCAGGATCCTGGAACAGGAGAGATAGGACAATCAGAGCTTCAATAGTAGGCTGAGGCGGTTCTGAAGGCACTCATGGTTCCTGCCCTACCCATCTCCCCAACTTCCTGACCTGGCCACCCTTCCCTGCCATTCACTCACCCCAGGGGGCCTCTGGATCTGCAGCTGCAGGTAGAGTTGCTGGAGCCTTGCCATCTGCTCCAGCACCAGGCACAGGTGTTCTAGGTAGCGAAAACCCTGCCCTGGGAGGCAGGTCCAGGCTCCGGGCCCCATATCACCTACCTGTGGGACACATTAAGATAGGGGAGATGCCCGATATAGTAGCACATGCCATTAGTCCTAGCACTGGGGAGGCAGAGGCAGGAGACTTGTGGAGACTGAGGCCAGCCTGGGCTACATATCAAATTCCAGGCAAATTGGGGCTATAGGGAGAACCTGTCTCAAAACAAACAAAAATTATAGAGAAGACTTCCAGATTCAGCCAAACTCCCATCCTGGGCAGCCGGCCTGTGCTGAGCCAGCAAAATGGGGCAGAGCAGGCAAGCTGAGGCATCTACACCGGGTTGGCTTCCCCAGTGCCCAGTTGGGCATGGTACCCATACCTGTCTACCTCCTCTGTGGGGGTGGCTACACACAGCTGTGTGCTGGGTGAAGCAAGAAGCAGTGACACAACCATCAATTAGGGGCAAGGAATGCCCCACCCCGAGAGAGCTCCAGGGAGAATGGGGGGGGGTCCTCACAAGCCCCATAACCTGGCGGTCTCCACCCAGTGTTCACCCAGCCAAGATGGACACTCACCACTTCTGCTTCTTCCAGACCAGCCTCTAACTCAGTTTCTACTTCAGTGGACTCTTGCTCTCTTGTAAAAATGAGTTCTTCACCCCCATGCTTGGTCAGCAGCTGCATGGAGTGGTGCCGTCCAGACAAGCTAGGGAGCTCTTGAGACCGCTCCAGCACCTGCTCCAGCTTACAGCTGGCCAGCAGCCGTTCTAGCTGGGCAGGGGGCAACTCAGGGCTCCCCATGAGCTCAAGGTTTAGAGAATCCTGAGAAAGTCCTGATAAGGTAGTCAAGGAACTGTCCCCAACCACCATCTCCATGCCTGAGTCCTGGGAAGCCAGTTTGAGAAGTGGTATTCGTCTCTCCAGCCCTCTTAGCTCATTCTGTCCTTCCCCAGAGTCCAGTGAACATCCATGAGCTTCATCTGGGATCCGTCTGTATGTACTGGTGACTCCTGGCACTACACAGCCTTGTGTCAGGTCTTCACGAGCCCCATCTATAAGAAGAGTCAGTATCAGGCTGGGTAGGCCACCCTCAACACCCCCAGCTTTTCTGGTTGCTGGCAGCATTCCCTTGAGGAGATGTGTCCTGGACCAGTGGTGAAGCAAGGACACAGGACAGTCACAGCTCCACTGAGATGTGGCTCTAATTGTGCTTGGGAGACATCTAGATGGGGTTCTTATAACAGCAGTTGCCAGCGGACAGGAACCCACACTTCAGACTATGTGGTAGGCAAAGTCCTTGCAGATCATTCCAGTGAGCAACCTGGATGACCTAGGAGACACCCCCCGGCCCCCACTGGGGTGCACTTGAATCATCCGAGTCCTAAGTAGACAGCTGAGGGCTCTCTGACTGTTCCCCAAGAGGAAGGAAGACTGAGCAGGGCCTCCAGGAGGGGGAAAGAATAGAATGAAGCCTGGAGCCACATACTGGTCTCTAGAGCCCCTGAGATGTCAAGAAACAGGATGAGGTCTCTCCTGGATCTCATAGGGACAATGGTTTTGAAAATGACAGGGCCAGGGCTGGGGCATGCTGTAGTGATAGTCTGCACAGTGTTCCCAAGGTGTTGGGTTTCATCCCCAATAGTGCACGCACAAACAATTAAAATGAAAGCTGCTATAATTATTTGAGGCTTTTGGCCTTTTAAGCAAGAAGTGATCTTGTGACATTTAAAAGGGGGAAAAAAAACCTTAATAATAAATATAAATAACTAAAGTGAAGAAAACTTTTTTAAAGTGTTTTTTTTCTATAGCGCAAGCTGTCCTTGAACGCCCAATGTTCCTCCTGCTTCAGCCTCCCAAGCCAAGCCCTAGGATTATAGGCGTGTGCCTCCCAGCCCTGGTACCTAGCACTCGTTTATCGCCACCTCCACACCGTGCTTAATAGTGGTCTGGGTGCTCTACTGGAATGGGGCAGAAACTCACGTTGCTTTGGCAGCAGCAGGATACCAGCCCATTCCCACTGGGCCAGGAAGTGGGCCAGGAAGCCTACCCCTGCACCGGGAAATGTGTCCGTGGCCACTGAGGGGCTTTCGGTAGTGATTGCTGGGCTAAGTAGGGGGCAGCGGAGTCACCCAACCTCGGGCAGAGGGAGAAGGCTCCACACCGGGAACCCACGGACCAGTGGGGATGCGAGCGGCGACTGACCGCTCAGTCCCAGAGGATCTGCACAGTGCAAGGCGTCCCCAACCTATTCACCATTCGGCTCCTCCGAAGCTAGGAGGCGCGGCCAGGAGGCGCGGCCGGCGCGGGGGGCCGGGGCGGGAAGGCAGAAGGCGACCCGACCCTAGGGCAGGAGGCCACACGACTCACCCCGGCCGCCAAGCCGCTCCACCGCAAAGACGCGCCGCCGGCTCAGCATTGCGCACTCCCGGCTCCACGCGGCGCCCCCGCAGCGACCGCAGCACCGGAGAGAGCCTCGCGCGTCCCTAAGTGGTGCCTGAGCCGATCAGCCCGCAGCTCCCCGCCCAGCTGGGCGCGGCCCCAGGACACTCCCCGCGGGGGGCGGGCCGGGGCGGGCCGTACAGGTGGAGGGCGGTGGACCCGCCGGCATCAGTCCCGGGATCCGCTCCCCCGCCACCGAGCGCCCAGCTCCGGCGTTGGAAGGACCTCCATCATCCATCGTTCTTGGGAGATCACAACCCCACCTAAGGTCACCGCCCCCATTCCACGCGCGGACTGTGTCCCCGCCGCAGACTTGGAACCCGCGGGTGCGGGAGGGGTACGGGACAGGAGCCCGGAAGGAAATGGAGTCCCACGTGCTGGCCGAGGGAAGAATACAGATGAGGACAGTGTCCGGCGCTCCCAGTTGTGTGGCGTGGGTCGGGTCCCTCAGCCTGTGGGAAGTCTGGAGCCGAGGAAAGAGTAAAAGGGGCAGGGGTGCTGCGCACTGGGGAAACCAGAGCACTGGGGGCGCTCTGTGTCCAGAGCTGCATCTAGCCCCCTACCCGGCCCAAACTTCTTATCGTGGTGCCACTGGAAAGGTGTCAGGCAGATGGCTGGGTCTTCAGGGTCTGGGCAAGAGTTCAGCAGCAGCCTGGAGCTGCCTGGAGGCCGAGCGGAAGTTCAAATGTTTCCCTGACCCTAGCCGCCACCACCCTCCTTGACGCTGTCGGATTCCACCTTCACCCCATCCTAAAAGATGTCCAGGCAGCTGCCGATGGTGCGACCACCAAATGACCAGATGAGGGCGAGTGGAGCCCCCTAGGATCCTTACAAAGGAGTAGAGCTGGAAAAGTCTCAGCCGAACCCAAATCCCCTGTAGACAGATGCGGACGTGCAAGGTAGCACCTGGACCGCGCGAGGAGGGGCTGGAGCCTGAGCCACAGGAAGTGGCCCTTAACTAGGAGAGAGTCTCTCCACCCCCTATCGCCTCTTTGCTTCTTCCTGAAACCCATCCCAACCCACTCTCCACTGGAGCCTCCATCAGAGAACCACTGACGACCGTATTGCAGGACTAGAAAATCGGGAAACTGAGGCCCACAGCCAAGTTCCCAGACTGCAAGATGAAAGTCTGAATTGCAGTTCTCTGGCCGGCTTCAAAACCTTGATGTTTAGGGCCAAGCCCTTTCCTGCCCCAAGAGTCCCCTGGGCTGCCGGCTGCACCACCCCACCCCCAACCAACCCTCTCTTTCAAATACTGTGAGGGAAACAGGATGCTGAGTCTAGTAGAGCTGCCTTTGAAAGCCCAAAATGTCAGGCAGCAATCTTCGCCAGGCTAGGTGGCCTCCTCCTTCCAAGGTGACAGAATAGGGAGGAAAAGAAGGGGACCCTTTGCCAGATCTCGCCCTGAATTTGGAGAACGTGGAGCCCAGATTCCAAGCAGTCTCCGTGGTGACTCGGACAGGAATGTATCTAGAAACAGGAAGCCAGGCCGGCAGGAATGCAGCGTCTCAGCACAATGTTTTGTGTATGGCTCAAAGAACCCCCATACACTCGACTATGTACACGCCCCAACATATACTTCCCTCCCAACTAGGGACCTACCCTCTTGTGCCCCACCCCCTTGTGCAAAACCTGGGATAGTTCAGAGCAAACAGAGCCCTTATGGGAACCGGACCTGACGTGATGGGCCAGGCTTCCTTCATTTTGCATCTGATATCCGGACTGTAACTGCCTCAACGCTGCCAGACCTTCACCATTCAAAGGGCTCTGTAGCCCTGCATGACTTGCCACCTCCTAAGCCTCGTTCCTCTGCCTCCTCCACCTGGAAAATCATGCCCCTCAGAATGATGCCGGAAGGGGAGGGGAGCCCAGCCATTCATGGCTGCTTCGCGAGGAGATGACCCTGAATTCTTTGACAGAAGGCAGAGAGAGGAAAGTCATCAATCGGGATGGCCATCCATGCCCTTAGCCCTTCTGCCTCCAGTGGGGAAGTCCCAACTTCAGGAAGCTGGCTTCCTGCAAAGTCAGCACTGAGCTTGACCCTGGGAAAGAATGAACCTGCAGGCAGGCTCTGGTTTGGTTACATTCCTGACTTACTTTCCTTAGTAAGAGTCTTGAGCCAGTCATTTATCTTTCCCATCTGTCCTTGTTTTCTTCATTTACAGAAGAATGACAGCCATACCTATCTCTGAGCTATAAGAATGCAGTTCAAAGATTGAAAATATCTCACTTAAAATGTATCCAGAGTGCCCTAGAACATTGCCCCATTATCCAACTGTGTAACTTGAGAGCATCCCTTTCCCAGCGCTTTGAAGGAAGGCTTATTAGATGCTGTATGGGTCACTTCTAACTTTAATCTGTCAGGGTTTTTTAAAATTTTTTTATACTTTGTGTATGAGTGTTTTGCCTGCACGTAAGTGTACTTACGATGTGCAATGCCCATGGAGGCTAGAAGATGGTGTCAGATCAGATAGAATTGGAGTTACAGTTCTTAGCCTAAATGTGGGTGCTGGGACCTCTGCAAGAGCATACAGTACTCTTTATCACTGAGCCATCTCTCCAGCCCTAATCTGTCATTTCTGAATTTATCTCCCAAATGGCAGGATTACAAAGTACAGTAGCAACAATGGAGTGTGGGGGTCAGAGGGAATGGGAACTCACCACTAGGTGGGGTCAAGGATAAGGGCAGAGGTAAAGAACCACAGCCTGCCCCCCAACCCTATCAGCTGACTAATCAATTTAGCTAATAACTCCATTTTCCAAAGGAGTTCACTGCCAAGCCTGGGTCAGCCTTGTGACCACATAACTCGGCTGCTGCAAGAAAAGAACAAGGAATGCTGGGGCATGGTGGCACACGCCTTTAATCCCAGCACTCTGGAGGCAAAGGCAAGCGGATCTCTGAGATCTAGGCCAGCCTGCTTTACAATAGCGAGTTCCAGGCCAGCTGGGGCTATAGGGAGACACTGTTTCAAAAAGACAGAGAAGAAAGGGAGGGACAAGGGCTAGCTTGTTTAGTTGAGACCCATGCCTTCAGGCTGTATATATATATATTCCTTATGTGTCTCCACTCCTGTGGCACCCCTGTCCCACAAGGGTTTGTTGCAGGTGGGGATCTAACCATCGCAGTAATCCAAATCACCCTTCCCAACCTGTCACTTACCCACTACACATTTTCCAAGTGTGCCCAGAGCCTCAAGGTGAAGTTCAAATCACATGCAGCATTCAGATTCTCTTGGTCTTAGCTCAGGGAGCTTAACTGGGAAGTAGCCACTGTTCTGAGCATTCTGCTAGCAGACACCCCACCTCTCAGCAATTGCAGGTATCTTTTCTCACAAGGCCGCAGCTTTGAATTCACAGCTGCCCCTTGTGAGTTCCAAGACAGCCTTAGCATGTACTGAATTATTTCATAGCGGGAGCTCTATGGCTGCCATTTCCATATCATATCCAGGAAAGTGAGAGGTGTTTAATCTGCATTCCCACCAAAGCCCAAGTTTGGTATTTACCAGTGAACCAAATTCCCCTTCAGGTAAGCATTCTCCCTGCAGTGGAGGCACTGGACACTAGGTGGTGCCAAAGAGACTACCGCCTTTCTAACCAGCCCAACCGCCTGGACAGACTCCTCAGCCAGCCAGACTTGACCTTTTCTATAAAAACACAGGCTCATCCTCAGACAGCCATCCAGGCAAAAGGTGAGATGATTATATCAAGGTGTAAATTATATCCACAGGTGCCTAGAAGACAACAAGGTCTCTGCCAGCATTCCTTTCCCAAAGAGCCAGATCCCACAAGCTTGCCATCAGACCCCACCCTCCAAAGCCAGCTTTGATCTCCTGTGAAAATAAGGATGGGAGCCATGCTGAAGCACACAGCAACACCTGAAGAACATTCTGAAATGTCCTCAGAGATTAGAAATAGGGGTGGTTGGTGAATTAGGCCAAAAATCAAGGGTTTGCAGTTGACCACTGCTCCTACTCCCCTCCGCTCAAATGTACCCTACACAGGGCAGGGGTGGTGAGCACTGGTTACACATATATTTTCTTCAAATCAGTGAAGCCAACAGAACTGGTCCAGATATGAGTAGATCAGTCTGGCCCAGAGACCTGGCCAGGGGTGGTGGTCCCTCAGGGTGGGTACTCTGTTGAATTATCTCAAGCTTCAGCCATTCTCTCATGGGAAAGGCCAACCTGCTAATCATTGTTGCTAATCATTGTTCCAGAGGGAGCAAGCAGCCTGGGGTGTATGCAACAGTAGAAGTCAGGCTCTTCCTCCACCCCATCACTGGGTCCCCCTCCAGTCCATCCTGTTAACTGTGTACATTGGTAGTCTAGTTGGCAGCGTCCACATCAAATAAAGGGAAGATCAATGCCCAGTCCAGCCCCACCCAGCTAAGTGTGAGACTGTCTTGCCAGGAAGCCCTTCCCAGGCCTCTGCTTCTGTTCCTCTCTACACTCCAGAAAAGAAACTCGCTCCCTCTAAGTATGAGGGACCATCCAGAAAAATGGGCATCTCTATAAAAGAGTCAAGGAAGCATTCACCCCCAGCCTAAAGAAGCAAGTCCAGTGCCACCAGCCTATAGTCTGACACACACAAAGGTTGAGACAGGCGGACTGTATTTTGAAGCCAGCTTGGTATATATACATTGTTTCAAAAGCACACAAAAAAAAAAAAAAGAAGAAGAAGAAGAAGCAAGACTCTGCAATTGGGTGTCTGGCAGGTGGGGCTTGAGAGGGGAAATGAGAAGGAACCTGTGCAGATAATGAAGACCCACCCAGGAAAACGGGAAGGAAGGAAAAATACAACTTCACTTTGTCCATGTGTATCTATTTAGAGAGTTCATACATCAAAACCTTTACACAGTGAATATCATTAACTTTGGGGCCCCGTCCTTCTAGATACTTCTACCTGTTCTATGCTACACACAAACATACCAACACAGTAGACACTTTAGCCTACAGTGTAGCACCTGTCCTGCAGGGGAAAGGCCAGAGAGGATGGAACTGTGGTCAGTACCTGCAGCCTAAGACAAATCCCAGCCCTTGGCCTCACCCAAAGAGGACGAAAGGGCCTGGGGTCCCCAACCTTAGTTCATCTAAGAACCACCACCTGTTACCACCCTTTCCCTACCAACTTGCTCTCAGTATGGCCATGCCCAAAGATGATGTAAGTACAGATGGACTGAGCACCACGGGGCTCAGGCCCGAGAGCTGAGCGTGCCAGGCACTGAGTAGCGCTGGCGGGCATGTTTCTCACAGTACAGTTCATCGCCCACCCAGAAATGGCCTCGCATCTTCAGGTTCAGCCCACAGTCTGCGCAGGTGTAGCAGCCAGGGTGTCGGTACCTCCCCTCCTGGATACGGACCGCCTGGTTCCTGCAGGGAGGGAGAGCCATCAGCCACAGGACAGAGTCAGGTAGTTAGGAGGACAAGACATGAGGCTATCATTCCCAGGGAGCCTGGTCCCCAGCCACTCTAGGACCTCAGACACAAACACTTCAGACACTTGGCTCCCAAGCCCCTCTCAGGAATCTCACTTCATCAGCCCACAACATACATACAACACACATGTTTTAACATGTACAAACACCCTGCCAGAGCACCAATCAAGAACAACAAAAAGGCAGGGTATGGTGGCACATGCCTTTAGTCCCAGCACTCCAGAGGCAGAGGCATGCCAATCTCTGTGAGTTCCAAACTAGCCTGGTCTACACAGCAAGTTCCAGACCAGCCAGTGCTACATAGTGAGATCCTGTCTCAAAAAACAAAACAACAAGATCAACAACAAAAAGGCCGAGAGGTGGTTTAGTGTGTAAAAGCCTTTGCCACACAAGCCTGGCAACCTGGGTTCCATCTCCAGAACTCATGGTGGAAGGAAAGAACTAAATCCCAAAAGTTACCTTCTGACCTCCACGTGTATGCCATGCTGCTCACACACTCACACAAATACACACACACTATATACACATATGTATCATATACAAATAAAACAAACATAATAATAATAAATAATTAACTTTAATTTTTAAAAAGAACAACAAAAAAAGTTACACCCTGAGCCAGGCACAGTGGCGCATACCTATAGCATTAGGGAGACAGAACTATATATTTGGAGGTAAGCCTGTACTACCTAGCAGACCGTGTCTCAAAAAAAGTCACTCCTCTGCAGCATAGATTGACAAATTTCCACACATCCCTTGGGTTTTGTTTTGTTTTGTTTTGTTTTGTTTTGTTTTGTTGAGACAAGGCCTCACCTCACTGTCTAGCCCTGGCTGGCCTGGAACTCACTATGTAAACCAGGCTAGCCTCAAACTCACAGAGATCCACCTGCCTTTGCCTCCCAACTGCTGAGATTAAAGACATGCACTACCACACCCAGCTCTCCTGTGTTTCTTGGGGGTTTTTTTGAAACAGTCTTACTATGTAGCCCTAATTGGCCTGGAATTCACTATGTAGACAAAGGTCAAGGAATTTCCCAAAATCACCTGACCCTCAATATTGGCTTTTATGGAAGGGGTATATGCCAGCAATTTTCCAGAGAAAGGGATTACATAGTATCACCCACTGAGAAAAATGAACCTGGGGGCAGGGAAGGGGAGGCCAAGGTTCTCCATGGGGCGATGCCTCATCTGGAGGCAAATTTCCAGAGGCTTGAATATGGAAGAATCCCCCAAAGCAGTAGCATTTTTCATTCCTCTGGGGAAAGGGGAGGAAATGAGGGCGGGCACAAGAAGCAGCTAGCCAGGCATTCATTCTAAGCATGAAGCCACTTGGCTGTGCTTCCCTCCATGGTCCCTGGATTAACTGCCCAACATTGCCTGAGAGCCCCATGCCCCCCCAAGGCATGCCCACCACCCATCCTCTGACACTCACGCAATGTTCCCACTGCACTTCTCGCAGGTGTGGAGCTTGGGTGGAGTGGCCAGGGACCTGGAGCTGGGCAGGGAGGCCTGGGGACTCAGCGAACTGGGCACAAATGCAGGTGTGCCACCTGGGAGGGGCAGAAGACAGACATGAGAGTCGGTCACTCACCCACAGAGACTATACTTAATGGTACTTTGGGACACCATTCAGTATGCCCCACACTCCCACATTTGTTACAAAAGGCACACCTTCACACAGACCCAGTGGGTATGTGAGTAGGTGAGGAAAAAAGGCAATTGAGGCAGACCATTGATAGAGGCTGATTAAGGTATAAAGCCTGACCATGACCAAGGTCAAGTCTACCCTTCTAAAGCAAGTATCTGTACCTAGTGTCTGATAGAGACAAAGTAGGTGTTCCCTTTCTGTGAGCCAGTCACGATGACATGAACAAACATTTGGTCATCACAGCACCACAATGCCTTTGTATAAAAGCCTTTCAAATGACTTTAATATGTATCATTGCTTCTGAGCCAGTGAAAATGCCAAGATGAAGCCCAGAGGCATTTGGTAGTTCTTGTCCCTGCTTCAGCTAAGAGTCTGAGGCACCCCTAAAGTAGCCTTATGTTTGTGCTTCCCTTCCCACATCTACCACAACCACCAGTCTCTCTGTGTCCTTTCCCTTGACCTGTAGAAAGAGACCTCAGAGTCAGAATGGGCAGGGTTTGTTCCAAACCTTCTCACCCAGCTCCCCATGTCCCAGCAAACAGCCCTGTGAGCTACAAAACAAAGCTGGAGCCAGTTGCCAGGGAATGGCCATTCAGTGGCTCCAAGCTCTGTCCTGCCAGCCTCGTCCTTTCCATCTTCCTGTTGGACAAGGCAGTGCCTTCATCTGCTGTTCTAAAGAGCATTCTTCCTGATTGTCAGAGGAGCAGTGTGTACCCCACTAATGTGTCCACTCCTGTGGGAACTGTCCAGGCCCATCTGCCCCAATAAACAGGAGTTCTTTGGGGCAGAAGTTGGGTCGTGAGCACCTTCCATCTTCACACTCTGCCCACATCTGCTCCACTGGACAAACACTGCACTGTTTTTCCAGTGAGTAACAGGATGACTGGCAGGAGCCTGCATTGCCTATACTGTTCACTGAGACACCTTGCCTGGCATAAGAGCCTGTGGTAGGGCACTCTTCAGTCTGGCTCCAAAGGCCCTTGTCTCAATGGCTTGCTGTCCCTGCAGCCAGGATAGGCCATTCTCTCCTGAACACACCCAAAGCCCTCTGGCTGCTGGCCTCAGCATTCCAGTGCTTCCAGCCATCCCACAGTCTTAAGGCTGGATCTTGTTTCAAGGGCCAAATCAAATCCCTCTGCCTTCAAGAAGCCCTCCGTGGAGACACAGCCTGGAGTCCCTACCTGTATCACCTTTAGGTGCTTTCCTGGTTCTGGCTGGCACCATCTACCACCATCTGGGTGGATACCTGGTAACTCCAACCAACCAGAACATAAGCTCCTTAAAAGTAATCACTGGGCTTGACATGCTGCCCTGGCCCCTAGTTCTACTATGAGCATAAGAAAAACTATTTCCTTAGTTGGTTTAGCCATGCTCCAGGGAGTCCAAACGACCCTCCTTCACCCCACAGCCTTGAGGCCTCACCTCTCTCCTCAGCCTCCAGGGCTTCCTGCAAGAGCCGAAAGGAGCTGGACTGCCGTGGGGCCACCCGCCCCTCACGGTTCTCCTGTAGCATCTTGAACACCTCGGAGTCCTCTTCCAGGTCCAAGCTACTGTGGAAGGGACAGAAAAGAATGAGGGACCCTGTGCCACAGGGTTTGGACACACCCCAGTACAGGAGAAGGGTGTGGGGGTTGAGAGATGGAAACTCCCATCCCTCTTAGGGAAGTCAGTCTCCCTCCTGTCCCCTCCAGGAGCTCACCCAACCCTACAAGGCCTGTGGGTACCTGAACCTGGGGCTGGAGGACCGAGGTCCTGAAGAATGTGGCAGCACCCGCACTGCAGAGTCGCCAGCCTGTGGGTGGAGAGCAGCGGGGAGGAGTCTGAGGCTTGACGAGGCCAGCACGCCCATGTGCAACACCAGGTGCTGATCCCAAGGCCAACACCAGGGGGCGCCCGGCCCCCGCTGACCCACCAGTCCCTTGCCTGTGTCATGTACTCAGTCTGTGCCACGTCCAACTTGTTCCACAAAACCATGGATGCTGGAATCCCAACGGGAGAGAGAAGCCAGCACCAGAGATGCATAGGTTCTGCATGGGGATGCCACAAAGTGCAGCACAAGGACACCAGGTGGTACAGGTGGTGGGCTCCACACAGACATCTCACACTTAGACACAGACACAATCCTCACACTTAGGTCATGCTACCTGTCCTTAAAGATGAGACATTCTAAGGTCAGTCTCCCAAACAAACAGAAGAAGCAAGCCTGAAAGCCAACCCTTTTACTGCAAGGTCATAGAAACATAAAGGGGTGAAGTGAAAGGCTCCCCCCTCCCCCCAACCAGGGCAGGGGCTGGGCAGGCCCTGAGTGGCCTATGCTGCTCTCTCTCTCTCCCCTAAGAGAGTTGGGCTCTGGGCTGCTGCCTCTCCCCACTACCCTTCAAGATCTGGTCCTGCCTCCCACCCACCCCACCCCAAGTTATGAACAGCCATGCTCAGTCCAAACCTGCATCCTAGATCAGGTGTTGCCCATATATCTCAACTCTTGCATTTGCTCTGGACATAGAACTCTGGCCTTCAACTTCCTTATCCATCCTGGAAGCCAGTTTTCAGCCTGCACCTGGGTGTCACCCTTCCCTTTCCATCCCCAGTGGAACTCCACTGAGCTGGCAGGAGAGCATGAGACAGCCTCAGGCTGGGGAGCCTAGGGCTCAGGGTAGATATCCTGCAGTGCTACCAAATGAACTATATTCCCAGCCCTTTCCGAGTCCTTTGCTACAGTGCTCTAGGGCACAGTAGCTGATTCAAGCTGCCTGGGGATCAAAGACAGGACCTCATGCCCTGGCTCCTGGATGGTCACCAAGTGCTGAGTGGCTACGGGTCTGTGATAGCATCTTCATATCCTCAAGAACAATGTCACATCTCCAAGCTGGCCAGCATGTGCTCTGCATGGAACAGGCCAGGGAGAAAGGAGGGCTGTCCTGCCCAGGCTCCTTCAGGAGCCAAGTTCTCACTCCCAGTCAGAGGGAGAGGTGCCTTTTTCACTTGTCAACCTATAGTTTCCAGAATGACATTTTAGAGGCTGGTGGTAGCCTATATCCTGGCTCTCTGGCCTCAGCCAGCCAGGCACACATTCACTACAGTCAGGGGTCTCTACTCCCTCCAGCCCACAGCCCTTCCTAGGAGTCAGCACTATCACCAGGAGAGGCCTGCCTCTGCCTCCCCTGACCCTCCTAGACTACTGAGGTCCCTGCTTTGCAGAGGAGACTTTTCCAAATCCTTCCTTCCTCTCTAAGTCAGCAAGCTGCTTCCTATCACCAGCCCATAAGGAACACCCCTGCAAGGCATACAGAGATGTTCATAGTGAGTACCGGGGTAGTCCAGAGTATTGGGAGAAATCCTGTAGTTAACCAAGTTAAAGAAACATCACACCAAATTGACTTGGAGCCTCTAAGACACTAAAGAGCAGTGACTCAGAAGAGAACTGCAGACCCTATGACTCCTGCACCCATCAGCACAGCCTGTGGGGTTAGGAATTCTGGCTTTTCCACGAATGCATCCCCAGGGCCCAGAGGGTGTCTGACAAGAAACAGCTGGCTGAAAGAGAAAGAATGACAGGAGTCCTCAGGGTCAGAGAAGGGAACACAGAGCTTCCAGCCTGGCTCTGAGGCCGAGAGAGAGAGAGGGCCCTGCTCTGGGTAGTATGGCACAGTGGGACTAGCTGGGACCCCCTACCGCCTGACCCCAGCTCCCCTTTAGCAAGCAGGCCTATCAAAGCACAGGTTCTTTTCCTGAACCCACTTCCACTTTGCAGATCCAGGCTGGGGCCTAGAATCTGCTTTTCCAGCAACTTCCTAGGCACTGCTTCTGGCTTGAGAACTACCTTCCTTATACTACCTGCATCTCTGATGCCTGGCTGGGACAACACAGGAAGGCCTGCCCTTGAGCACTGGGGTCTGCTGAGGCAACAGCTTCCAGGAGACTCTATGGCCAGGAGGGATGTGTCCTCTAGCCCCAAGCCAAGCTCATTTCTAGCTTGTCTCAAAATCTGCCAGTTCTAGTTGGGATCCATTTCCCCACTACCAGAATTTCAGACCACTGCATATTATTCTCTAATCAAAACCCTGTTCCATCCTCCCTCTACTGTCCAGCACGATTCCTGACAGAGCCTTCTCAGGCCACCCAGCCAACTTGTCTCTCTCCCCTTCCAGAACTGCCTCCTGCTTTTGTAATTAATCCCACACTATCCTGTGCTTAATTGCCCCAAAATTGTTAGGCATGTTTGTCTTATCACAATAACTACATCTTAAATTCTTTAAGGACAGAGATCTTGTGGAATGCATCTCTGGGCCCACAGCACCCACCCAACTGGCCCTGGGCAGGCACACAGCCCATTCACCAAGGATTCTGCCCTTTCCTTCTCTAGAGCCCCCCATTTCCTAGTTCCCTCCCCCAGCCACCTCCAAAGGCCCTGCTCTGTGGAATGAAGAACCAACCCAGAGGTAAAATTCCAACAGCTGGGCCTCGTCCCCTTCACCCTAAAGGCAGGACATGTCCCCAGCCACTCTGCCCAAAATTATTGTCTGTCTCACTCCCTCACTGCACTTCCCCTGCCCTTGGGGAGGAGAAATACCACCTTGGGGTTAAGCTGTCACCAGTGGCCACAGAGACTTGGGGACATGGGTCGGAGAGGGGTCCAGCAGAGGGAGAACAGACAGAAAACAGGCCCCAAGGATAGCAGGGGGCAAAAACACAGTCCTGCAGAGGTTCTCTCGGCTGAGTGGGAGGAGGACCAAGAGCAGGGGTGGGAGTTGGGGGCTCATAACAGGAGGAATGTCTTTAGAAGATGCAGCCAGCAAAGAGAGGGACTCATCCCAACAACAGCAGTGAAACTATTTCAGCCGCAGCCCAAGAGAAACACACTAGGAAGGGAGGAAGCGAGCAGAAGGGAGGCAGTCAGAGTGGGCAGGAGGGGAGAAGAGAACAGAACGGAATGGGCACTAGCAGGGCAGGCCTCGTCCTCAGCAGGTGTGGCCCTCCACCAGAACTGCTGTTCTCCCTGGCTCAGGAGAGTAGTGTACCTGTCACTAGGAGATGCCGCACAAGCTGCCCAGGTGTCAAGGGGAACAGGAGATAAGGCTTATCTCCTTCTCCGCTGCACTCTCACCTGTCTGTTTATGGGGCGACCACCATGAGACAAGTCAGTAGCAGTGAGGCCTGGAGAGTGTGTCAGACCCTGGAAACTGAAATGGAGGGACTGATGTGGGTGCGAAATCCCCCACAGCCTCACCCAGGAAGGAAGAGCAGAGTCCCCAGGATCCCCTAAACATAGGTGAAACTCTAAAGGGCCAGGTCAGGTATGGGGGTCACCCACTCACTGCACTCACCTGCGGCCAATCACAGCCTCTCCAGAAAGGGTGAGTGGACTAGTGGAGGGTGGGGTGGAGAAGGGGCTGCCTGGCCTGGGGCTGAGGGAGGCTGGGCTGGAGTAGGAAGACCTCATGGAGGACTGGCTGTCATGGTGTGTTCTCAGAGAGCCCTGTGGAGAGAAGGGCCAAGGGAGAGCTGGCATGCCCCTGCTGGCTGCACATCAGGGGTGGGGGTGCTGAGGCCCCAGGCTGGAAGGACCAGCTTACCTGGAAGCGAGCTGCCAGCACTTCCAAGGAACCTTCCCCATTTGTCTGCCCAGGAGAGGCAGCTGGAGACCTAGGGGACAAAGAGAGGAGACTGTCACATGGTCCTGGAACACCCCCCACTCCATCCTGAACACTGTTCCCAGGCCTGGTTCTCAAACCAGTCAAGTATCTAGGACACTTGGATTTGGACTGCCAGCTTTTAATTTTGTCAAGTTCACAACAGATGACTTCCATCATTGACTACCATCATATCGCTCGGGCCCAGGACCATGACATAGAAAGACAGAGTTTCAGCCAAATACTCAATAAATCAACCTTTACAGAAATGCCTCACATGACCCATGTCCCTCTTCATTCATCTAGACTTTGTCATTGCATGGCATCCATTTGTAGATCAATTTTGAGAAAGAGCTAATTCCATATAAACAGTCCTCTGTCTTTTAAAATATTTTATTATTTTTATTTTATGTGTATGAGTGTGTTGCCTGCATGTCATACAATGCCCGCCAAATTCAGAAGAGGGCTTCGGCTCCCCTGGTACTGGAGTTATGTTTTTGTCCTTTTGAGACAAGGTCTCCTTGTAGCCCCAGCTGACCTGAACTCACTATGTAGACCAGGCTGGCCTTGAACTCACAACGATATGCCTGCCTCTGCCTCCTGAGTGCTGGGATTAAAGGTGTGTGCCACCATGCCCGGCTATTATTTTTATTTTATGTGTATGATTGTATTGCCTGCATGTATGTGAGTGCACCCGTGTGGTGCAATGCTGCGGAGGTCAGAAAAGGGCTTCAGATTCCCCTGGAGCTGAGTTAAGGATGGTTCGTAGCTACCATGTGGATGCTGGAAATCAAACCCAGGTCCTCTGCAATAGCATTCAGTGCTCTTAACCGCTGAGCCGTCTCGCCCCTCCTTTGTCTTTAAAACCATAGAGAAGCTAAAGCCCTGAGAAGGACTGTGAATTCCCCAAGCCCCAAAGCCCATCAGTGTCTGGGCCAGATGCCTGCTCTTTCCCACCTATAGGTTCATCCCCTACTAACTGCTTTACTGATGGCCAGAATGCTTTGGGAAGGCCACTCAGAGTCCCTTCCTCAGGCTTCTCCCCCAATAAAACAAGGGGTGGAAACAGGCCTCCCTTCCCTTTTAGACAGGCAGCTGGAGGACCTGGAGACCTCTGAGCAGGCCCAGCACCTAACTAACAACAGACAGTAGCTAGCCAGAGGGGCTTCTCTCACCCCAAGTGGACCCCTTTCCAAAACCCTGCACTGCACTCCATTTCTCAGTGGAGCTGGCTGGAGCCTCGAATGGGAGGTCATCAGAGATGGGAGGTAAAGGTGAGAAGTGAGTCCATAATCCTTGCTTCCCACCATCACTACACCATTACTGCATGCCACAGCATTCCTGGGCATCTGGTCACCTCTAGAAAAGTTGGCCAGCAGGAATCTTCACCTCCCTGGTAGCAGTATGGAAGTCAGAATGAGGAGAGCTCCACCCCAGAGCTCTACTTCCTGCCTTAGAGCCTCTGAATGCCCAAGCAGTCTCCTGAAGAGGTGGGAAGACAGTTGTGGTGAGGTATTGGCAAAAAGGAAGACACCCAGAGCCTTGGCTTGCCTGGTGTGGAGCTGGCCAGGCCTACCTCCCGGATGGCCAGGTCCTTCCAAGAAGAATCTGACAGCATGCACTGGTGTCAGCAGATTCTGCCCTGATTGCTGCCTCCTGTGGATTTTGGGCCGATTCCCAGATGCCATGAGGTCCCCTCCACCCTCCTCTTCTGGGTCCCTCTCCTGCAAACACTCAGGGGCAGATTGGCATGAAGAGGGCCAGTTTCATGGGAACCTGCCTCTGCAGCAGCACAGGTGGGGCCCATGGGTAAGGAGGGTTGCAGAGGCAGGGCCAGAAGAGAACCTGGCAGTGGGCAGAGGCAGAGAAGCAGGCGGCATCAAATTCTTCTGCTGACCTGCCTAAAGAGCCCTTGGATCAAGGGGTCTCCCAACATTCCTGATCTGTGACTCATTGTGATGTTCCACCCCTGAGAGCCACCTGTTCCCCTCACAAACCTCCCATGAGTACAGGAACCCTGCTCAGCAGCAGGGCCCAAAGCAGTGATGGGGAGGGACAATGAATGAGTTCTGAGTCCCCAAGGCTCCATCTCCACCTGGTTCAACACAAAAGCCACCTCTCAGAGACAAGGAGACTCAGCCTAGGGTACACCTTGCCCAGAAGTTTCCCCTCTTCAACCACTTCATGCCCACACCCTATACCATTCACACTCTTGGGAACCAGTCAAACCCGGGCTTCCAGGTAGCTGGTGCCAGCCTGCCACACCCTGCCTGTGGCTGCATGCCCAGCCTGGAGCCCACCTTCAGCCAGCTGGTCACTGGGACACCTTTTAGCCCACCCTAACCTTCTTCTTCCCTATTATAGGCCCAGAGGTGAGAACTTTCCACATGCCAAAATAGCCTCAGAAGGCCTAGATGGGGCTGCATTCAGGGCTGTAGGCAGGGGTGAGGATGGTTGCTTGGCTGACAATTGGCAGGTGGAGGAGGGGAAGGGTGGCAAGCTCAATGGAGGTAGAAGGCCTACCGGTCCAGCTGCAGTCGTAGGGGTGAGGCACTCTGGCGGATCTTGCTCTGGGCCTCCACATGTAGCATGCCCTCTGCTCTCTCGCCATTGATGGTCACAATGATATCACCAGGTCGGAGATCAGCAGCCTCAGCCTTACCTCGCTCTGTTACCTATAGGGATGAGAAGCCAGGAATTAGTGAGTCTTTGGTACCCAGTACCCTGTCCCCAATAACCAGAGAGGGCTGGAGCCAGGAGTTAGTGAGTCTTTGGTACCCAGTACCCTGTACCCAATAACCTGAGAGGGCTGGAGCCAGGAGTTAGTGAGTCTTTGGTGCCCAGTACCCTGTACCCAATAACCTGAGAGGGCTGGAGCCAAGAAAGGCAGAAGCTGAAATGAACCTCTGCCACCCCTCTCTCTGCCCTCCCTCTCTCTGCCCTTCACTCTCTGCCAGCTAGCTGGCTAATCCCTCCCAAGCTTGAATGGCACCCCCAGGTCCCCACCCCCCTGGCATTCAAACAGAGGCCTCTCAAGGAATGTGATGGCAGGATGGCAGGAACTGAGCTTGGAAATACTTCTGGATAGAGGGCCCTACGCCTGCATATCACACCTTGAAGGTGACTGCCTACACACCACCCTTCCTGTGACTGTGCCCCAGCCTGAGCCTAGGCTTGGGTTGAGAGGAAAGGACCAGAAACCTGTAGAAACTCTTGTTCCATGCAACCACCCAAAATGGCTGCCAGCAGGTTAGGAACTGAGGTTTGCCCTCAGTTAGGGAGTGAGGGAAGCACCTCCTCCTAATGGCCTTCCTGAAGGCCACTGCACCCTATGGCAACAGAGCACAGCTGGACCCTGGCCAACATTGCTGGGAGCAAGCTTCAGGCACTGGAACAAAATGGGAAAAGTTATTTTGTGTGGATGGATGGGCTGAACAAGACAAGCCTAACTTTCAGGAGGTAGGTCCTTATTTCTTGGAGCCAGACCTTACCTTGGTCACGATGATGGGAGTGTGGAAATCTCTGCCTCCACTGATGCGGAAGCCCCAGGGTGCCGGCCCCACCACATCCACCGTCAGTGCCATGCCTGGGGAAGAGAAAACTGGGAGATGGGACCCACTCCCCCAGCACACCCACCCCAAGGAAAATGAAGAAAGATGGGTGATAGGTCCCAGAGCTACCAGGCAGGGGCTAGGACTTGGGGGTGATAGAGGAAGTGACTAAGTCCCTCCCTCACCCGAGAGTTTCACTTCCCCCCACCGTGGGAAGCTGTGACTCTGAGCTCCCCCTTCCATGGTCTTCAGCTCAGCAGCTCCCAAGAGAGGCAGTGGTTCCACTGCCAGGCTGACAGACTGCCACACAGGTGCTTGGTAGAGAATGGTGGGCACAGGCTGGCAGGTGGTAGAAGATACCAGCATTTCCTCCCTCCCCCCCTCCCCCACATAGGGTAAGGCCCTCAAGGGCTTGCTTCCTGTCCCTAAAACCAAGAGCACACGGTACTTCCTCCCTACTCTGGAGGACAGCAGAGCTTTCTACACAGGAGAGACAGCAAGACATGGGGTAACCCCACCAGGCCCTTCGAGAAGGTACCAGGTAGGGGCTGGCTGGGGTCAGACCAAGGTGTTCAGAGGAGCCACTAGGCCACCTGCCCAGCCCTGACAACTGGGTTCAGATGCTGATAAAAAAGCTTCCCACCTCCAAGGGCCTGCTGCCCTCTGAACAGCCTGAGCTCCAAGGCCAAGGCTCATCTGCCAAGGGAGGCACCCCCACCCCCACCCTGGTGCTGGCCAGCAGGGAGGTTTATGATGCTGCCTGCCAGGCTGGCCACAGGCTTCCCATCCGCAGCCCCCTCTGCCCCACAAGGGAGTGTCCTTGTGGACCAGGCCCTCCTAGGATTTCCTGAGCTTCTAGGTCTGGAGCCAGGAGCCAATCCAGTCAGGAAGCTACAATGCCAGGCTGGGCACCACCCAGCCCAGCACCCACCCTGAGGCTGCCCCTGGGGAGATACAGAGTCAGCAAGTATTGTCCAATATCTCAGGGCCAGGGGAGTATCCAGGCCAGCAGTTCACCCCTCTTGTCCCCAGGCAACTGGCTTTCCCTTTCACCCAGGCCCAGTCACTGTCCCTCGGGCTGGTCCCTGGAAGTCTGCAAACGCCCTGAGATTCTCAGACCTTTGAGCTGGCCAGTGGACTCCGTGCTGCGAGTGCCGCAGGGAAGTACCTAGCCTGTCAGCCTGGCTCGCCCAGTCCCAGTTCTGAAGCCTTCTTCCCACTAAGGCCAAAGTACCCAGCCAGCCTGGGACTGGAGGAGGAATGGTTAGCCAGGTCAAGGGGAGTCCAAACCACTGGGTGCCCAAGCCGACGAGCCGCTCCAGGGAGAGGGGCTTTGGGGCTCAGGGCAGGGTTCCCGGGAGCCACAGATCCCAAAGGGCACTGGCCCTTGGAAGGTGCGCAGGTGGGCGCGCGCTCACCTGGCTAGGGCTCACCTGTTGCGCTGGGCTGCCAGACCCAAGAGGGAAAGGAGGGAAGGGAGGGAAGAAGGGAGAGAGGACGAGGAGTCACCACCGTTCCGCCGCTGCTGTCGGTCCGATTCAAGGGAGAGCCCGCCCGGGACTCCGGGACCTGCCTCCGCCCATGTGATCCCGGGGCCGCCCCTGCCGCCGCCCCTGGCCCGGGAAGCCGCCTCCTCCGCGCTGCGGAGCCTGGGTGCCGCCACCTGGCCCGTGCCTTGCCGGGGAGCTGGGAGGACTGACTCCCCCAGGAGCCACCTCTAGGCTGAGGTCGTCCTCCCCAGATGCCTGCATCCTTCTGGACAGTCCCTGAGTACAAGCGAACCGTTCAAGTGACAGTCGTCTCCCTCTTGCCCCCTTGCGCAGACTGCGGGGGGCCGCGGCGTCCCATCCTATCCCCCACTTCAAAGTGACCCTCGAGTCCCCGGCCCCCAGGCCTCGGTCAGGCAACCGCTGGCTTGGTAGACTTGTCTGCGGTTCACCCAGTTCCTCCGCCCACTCCCGGCTTCGATGCTGGCACAGATGCGGTCTGGACACCCAGAAATCCCAAGCCTGGGCCACCCTTCCGTACTCCTCAACTCTCTTCCAGGAGGGACGACCTGCTACTGACTCTGGCTTGATGGAGCCAGCTCAGTCCTCTATGCAGCGCAGAGTGACCTAGCCTCAGATACTCCCGCAAGCATGGAGGCCTGCCAGAGTCCAGAGGAGATGAGGGCGCTTGGTAGGGTCACAAGGCACGACCGCTTCCTGCTGGCCTGCAGGAGGTAGACTGGCCCCAACCACTACCGTGGACCCTGCCTGCCCTTCCTTCCCTATCAGGCTCCAGGACGCAGGTCAGTGGAGCAGGGGTCCCAGGTGTGGGCTCAGGACGGTGGAGTCACCCCATCCCCATCCGGCCAGCGGTCCCCCAAAGCCATACCTGGCAATCCTTGCAGGGAGCTCAGTGCCTACGCCGATGCCTCCTGCCTTTTCAGTTGCTCTCACAACTTGACACTCTGAGGAGCACACCTGTGGGCACAGCTGTAACCTGCCTGCCTCAGGTGTGAGTCATTCCCTCCGAGTTCTCTCTGCAAGGATTGCCCTGGCCACACTCCTCACCTACCCAGTGGGAGTGTGCCTCACCATCCCTGTACTCCCTGTCTGCCCAGCCACCTCCCTGGCTCCACCTCCCATAGTCTCCTCCTCCTGGAGTATAAAGGGCTCTCCCAGGTACTAATCCCAGGGGCCTCCTGGAGGGGCCACTTGCCTGCTGCACCTGTTCTCCCTCCCCATCTAGACTGGGAGCCCATTTTGTTTGTTTTGGGTGCTGGGGATTGAACACAGGGCCTTAGGTCAGCTACATTTGCACTTTACCTCTCAGCTCCGCTCTCAGCCAGTGGAGAAGGAAACCTCAGGTAGGACAAGCACAACCTTGGGGTCACTGGTGCCACTCAAGTGCCACGTCTGCTTTTTCTAGTGTGACCTTGGGCAGTTTCTTCCAGCCTCAGTTTCCCCCATGCAGCAATGCACAGCATTAGACCTGGAGCTGCTGTGCAGGTGATCTCTTGTAGGCAAAGTCAAAGGGTTGCCTAGCAGAGAGGATGAGGCAGGGAGGGGAGGCAACAGGAGGGGAATTCACCCATTCAACTGATCCCCAATGATTCGAACAGTATTAACAAATGTGTATTAAGCACCCACTGTATGCCAGGCACTGTGCCTTACTGACCTCAGGGACTCTCATGGATGCCTCAAACAGGCTCTGTAAACACATACAGGCTAATCTGCAGGGCTTCCTGCTCTGGGTTGAGTATTCACAAATCCCACTGCAAAGACAAGTCAGCTGGCCCAGGATATGGCTCTGGTATGCAGAAAGAACCTGTCCTGCTTGAAGTGACTCTGTGTACTGGGTACGAGTTATACCCTTCATCTTTCTGATGGGTGAGCCACCCCACAGACTCTCTCTCTCTTCACCAGGCCAAGGCACCAAAGTGGTTATCTTACAGATTGGCCTGGTGGCAGACAGCCCCAGGGGGAAAAGAGGTTGTTTGCCCCATCAAAGAGAGGGTGTAGGTTTGGTTTCTGCCCAGGGAAAAGAAGTCTCAACCCTGAAATGTTTCATGAGGGCACCAGGGAATGCAAAACAAGCTAGGATGAGGGATCAAAAGCCGGCCGGCAGGGCCCTGAAGAGTCATCATTTCCAGGTAAGGATGGGCTGGACCTGCCAATCTAGAGCCAGACCAAAGTGAGCACTGGGCACAGAGAATAAATGAAGAAGGGCATAAGGGTGCATAGGTCTTGTTCTGCAAGCAGCTGTTTAACCACCTGGGCTGGGACTCAGGCCACACCCAAGCTCAAAGAACCAGCCAGGGCCAGGCCTGCCCTGTGTACCCGGGCTCTCCTGACAGAACCAGGTATACCACTCTTCATGTCAGACATCTACTCTACCTACCTGTCAAGCCAAGGAGACAGGAGTGCCAGGAAGAACACAGAAGCAACCTAACCCTGGGCCACCCCAACATAGTCGCTGACATCCTGTGTGACTCTCCTCCTCCAGGAGCCTCTAGATAGGGACTGCTGAGCACTTGATAGGTGGGGATGCATTGTGAGCTGACTTCGGCCTTCAATAATGATGTGGCCCGTGAATTTCTCAGATCCTCTCTCCTGTCAAATGGTTGTGTAGCTTATTTTAGATGACACATGGGTAGCACTTTACTGCCTGCTTAATTGTCAGCAGTGGCCCAAGAATGGAGCTTTCCATAGTTGGATATGGGGACTCATGCCTGCAATCCCAGTACTCAGGAAGCTGAGGTGAGAGAATTGCCTCTGATTCCATACCAGCCCAGCCCATAGCACACCAACGAGAAAGAGAGTGGAGCTTTTCTTTCTTGGGGAAAGGCCGGGCCCAGGCTGTGCTATTGCTAGCGTTCCCACCAAGCTCCAGACCTCTAAAACCCTTGGGTGAGGAAGAGCCACTTTGGCTAGCTGTGCCCCACCACTCCCAGGGTCCCAAAGCCAGTTGCTCAAAAACTGGAGAGTTTGGTATGGAATGGAGCGCACAGAAGGAAAACATTAGTGGAGAACAGTTAGAAATGTCATCTACTTCAGCTACGCCATGGTGGCAGCTAAAGAATCTGTGAACAAGGCCGCATTCAATTCCCAGCTCTGAGTTCTCCCATCAGGCCCCTCCCCTGGTCCCACTCACTCTGGTTCTCAGCACCTCTGGTCAGGCAGTTACCTAAGGCTGCCTAAACACCTTACTGAGACTTGAGAAGAATGATTTACCAGCCTCCCCTCCCACACACTTGCTGGCCCACCTACCCCCGCCGCCCCCAGCAGAGCAACTGGAGAAAGAATTCCCATAATCCTCAGCAGGCAGAGTTTCCTCCCCCCTCCCCCCAACCACCACCACCAAAAGGAAAAGGACTCAAACTCAGGTCCCTGGCATCCAGATTTATTTTACATTCTCTTCCAGAGAGGACCTGGGAGCAGAGGAAGGCTGGGGAGTGGGAGGGCAGCAAGCACGGTTCCCTCTATGTTTATAGGCCGGAGCAGCTGTGTGTCTCAGAGGATGTGTAGAGTGCAGGCCCAGGGCTCAGCAGCCTCTGGGAAGATGAGACTGCTGGGAAGACTTGAGACAAGGCCTCTTGCTGGGCCTTGAAGACTGAGAAGGTGTTGCATTGCCCCCCACTTTGCTTCCAGGCCCAGCTGGAGGCCAGAAGGTAGAGGGGCGTCAGGCAAGCTGTTAAGAAAGGGGAGGAGGCCTGTCTGCAAGCACAGGAGGCCTTTGGTCTCCACCAGGGTAGGGGGCTGGTCCTTGTTAGAGGAATCCCATGGGAGCAAAGCTGAGAGCTGATCCCTGTTAGGGGAAACACTGTGTGTTGGAGGGGGACTTGGACGGCGGGCGGGGGGGGGGGGGGGGGGGGGGGGGGGGGTCGTCGTCGTCTGGTCTCAATAAGGCCTGGAGACAGTCTCCACTTCAAAGCAGACATCTGTATTTGAAGGGTGGTGAACGGGACTGTCAGAGGAATGCCTTGCGGGTAGGAATCAGTCCAGGGGACTTCGAGGGGGCTCCGAGGGAAGGCTGCTGGGGTCTCTGCAGATGCTAGGAGCACAGGTCCTAGGGGAGGAGGATGTGGGGGCCTCGCTCCCTCCCATAAGTGCTGCTGCACCCCACTCCATCCTTGTTGGCTCCAGGTTGCCATAGAGACCACTCACACCGGGGCTACATAATTTCCAGGGAATGTCCCGAATTTCTGAGTCCTCCTGGAGACACCTGAAAGAGGAAAAAGAGAGCAAGCGTTCCCCCTCACTCCTTTGTGCAGTTGGGGGGGCGCCCTCTGCTGGCAGTACCCAGAACTGCAAGTAAAGTGAGATGGGGACTTTGTTTCGACGCCTCATCCCTGCCCACTAGCGGCGAGAGCTTAGATAGGCAAAGCTGCACTTCTAAATTCCAGGATCGAAGAATCGAAGAATCGGAACAAATCATTAATCAATGAGGACAACTTTGCACACAGCACTGAGTAACTCCGCCCTTTAAGAAAGCTAGGAAGTCGGAAAATGAATCACAAAACCTCTATAGGGTGGAACTCACTGATCTAATATGGCACCTTCATCTCAGGGATGGGTGGGTAAGACCCAAGAAAAGGCCCAATGCATGCTGCCTAGGGATAGAGCTGGGATGGTGTGCTGGATAGCTTTAGTGTCAACTTGACACACCTGGGTTGAGGGAGCCTCAATCGGGGAATTGCCTCTATTGGACTGGCCTGTGGCCATGTCTGAAGGGCATCTTCTTGATGAGTGATGTGGGAGGGCCCAGCTCACTGTGGGTGGTGCCACCCCTGGGCAGGTGGGCCTGTGTTGCATAAGAAAGCAGGCTGAGCAGGAGCCAAGGGAGCATGCCTGTAAGCAGCATTCCTCCATGGCCTGTGCTCCAGCTCCTGCCTCCAGGTTCCTGCCCTGAGTTCCTACCTTGGGCTCCCTTATGAACTGCGACCTGGGAGATGTAAGACAAATAAACCTTTTCCTCCCCAAGTTGGTACTGGTCAGAGTATTTTGTCACAGCAATGAAGAAACAAACTAAGACAGATGGCAAGCCAGGCTTCCCGTCTGCTGGGACTCTTGGGAAGCCGGAGTCCTGCAGTGAGGCTGGGGATGTATTTGAAGTGTGCTAGTGTGCCTGAGGGGCATGGCTTTTCATCTCCTTCCACTTTAACTGCACCTAAGCAGCCACATGTGGCTAGTGGATACCATATCATCCGTGTCTAAAATATTCTGCCACAAAAATAGTGTATGTGTAAAACGAGAAGCAGACGACAAGGGAGTTAGTGCCTAATCTCTGGTGTGTGGGAAGCTTGATTGGCACTGAGGTATTGGGAGTCAGATTAAAAGGACAGGCTATCTGGTCAAGGTGCTGTTCCTGTGACCACCTCTGTCCAGGCAGTCCTCTAATCCTTTGGGCTCCAAAGCCTCCTTGTTATCCCAGATTGCAGGAGCACACTGTGTTAGGGTGGAGGATACTGGGATATGAGAGCTGGTCCTTTCTAGTAGAACGCCTGACCCAGGAAGTTTCCCTTGGATTTGGTGTCTCTTCAGGCTCTGAATGCAGAAGCTGGGTGAGGGTGGTGGTTATGAATCTTGACTGAGCCAGTGCTTTCTTGCAGCAGCAGGCTACTCAGGTCCTTGGGAAACCCTGAGTCCTCTTTCTGGTCTGCCCTCCCCTCCCTTCGCCACATACCCACAAACCAGCCATCGTCACACTGCTGCATAACATCCACACGGTCCCCCTCTCGAAGTTCCAGCTCATCCTCATTCTGGGGCCTGTACTGGTACATGGCCCGATACCTGTGGGAGATGTCAGTGTGGCAGTCAGAGGCCTCAGGCGCTTTCCCAAACCTGCTTGCAATTCTACCAAGAGCTGCCACTTGGGATAGCTCCCACAAGTCACCTAAACATCCCAGGACTAGCTCCACTTAGGAGTTTCCTCAACCTACAGGAGAAGGAGGGTAGGAGCTGGGGTCAGTAAGCTCAGTACTGCCTGCCAACCCCAGCCAAACAGCCTCAGATGGTACTCACGGGGTCCAGTGTATCTCTGTGGTGCTGGGGGAGGAGGCTCCCAGTTCCATGGGATGGCTGGTGCCTTGAGGGTGAGACAGGGCTGGTCCAGTGGTACTAAGACTCTGGAGTTCAAGGGAAGAAAGGAGGGCCACAAGGAGGTGTGAGGGAACAGTAGTAGACTGGGGTTCCACAGGGCCTGATAAGCATTGTATATGCTGCCTCATCAAACTCCCAGGTTGGGGAGGGTCCACCATGACTATCTCCTTTCAGAGGCACTGGGAGGTAGGCCCAGGCCCCAGGCAGGGTTGAATGGCTGGATTTCTGAGTACCAGCAGGGACAAAGCAGGTCCCAGGAGGTACTAGGTGAACATGGATCCAGGGATGAGACAGGGTCTCCTTGTAGCCCCAGGTGTCCTGGAATTCACTATGTAGACCAGGCTGGCCTCAAACTCACAAAGATCCGCCTGCCTCTGCCTCCCAAGTGCTGGGATTAAAGGCATGCCACCACATCAGGTACACATACCTTTACTTAAACCCACCCCAACTACCTCCCACAGTGGGAGGGGAGACTGCAACCCAGAGTCTGCAAGCCCCATGCCCATGGACCACACAGAAGATAAATGCCAGAGCCCTGATACTCAGCACTGACAAAGTGGCATCCTGAGGTCTGGGCTAGTTTTGGGCCCCACCTAGAGCTAGGGTCTGCCAGTGCCTCCCTGAGCTGGATCAAGGGTTAGAGCCAATTTGAGGGGATTTGGGACCAAGTTCAGGGTGCCTGAGGGTTGCCATGCTAGGTTCTGCCCAGCTCCACACTTCTCTGTCCTAGGGCTGTCTGGGAAAGATAGCCAGCATGGACCAGTCACAGGAATGGGTCAGGGGAGGCCATCCCACCTGGGTTTGGGGTCTGAGCTCCTGGATGGGCATTGGGAAGGGGAAGCCGGAGCGGCGAGGGGAGGTCCAGCCCCCCCAGTCAGTGGAGTCCACTGGGCTGCATGGCGCTGAGGGGGAGCTGGGGTGACGGGCCAGATGGGCAGTGGCTGTCAGACGAGGTGATGCAGGGAGCTGGGGGTTGTCATCACAGACTCGGAGCCGGGGCTCACGATGCACTTGCACATAGCTTGCAGGAAAGATGCCTTGGCGCCCTGTGCCCGTGATGCGGCCCTCGTACCAGTTTTCATTCACCTTGCGGATCAGGCAGATGCGCTCTCCCTGGAGGGAGGGAAAGAGTTAGTTTAACAGGGGTCTCTTGGGCGTCATGCACCTGGGCTGTCTCGTTCAGGCCTGACACCTTGCATAGATGAGACATCAGGTTCAGAGGTGGTCAGCAGGTTATCCAAGGTCACACAGTTGAAAATGGGGAGTCAGGAGCAAGTAGAAGGCTAAACTTTCTCATAATGGATTTGGATCAGGTCCTGCATCTTTGGGGAGCCCACCTGGCAAGTTCATACCCTTCCTTAACCCCAACTATAGGAGAGCCTGTAGCTAATCACACAGGTCCAACCTCAATGCCAAGTCCAAGCTGTGTGGCTTTCTGTAAGCTGCTCTGCCTCTCTGAGCTTGGTTTCCTCATGTGTTAAGTGGGATAACCATATTGTTGCTATGAGGTACAAGATTAAGGGCGGCCTGATAAGAAGTACTGGACAGGTGTTAGCCATACTGCCATAACTCAGTCTTGTTCTTGACTGACAGGTCTTGAGCTCCTCCCCAAGGGCAGGAGCATCCTTTAGCTCACACACTGACAGAGGCTGGGGCAAAACTGCTGCTATTTCAGCAGGCTGCTCTGGAGAGGCTCCCAGCCATCACATCCCCTCCTCTCCTGCCCACCCTCCCAGCTACCTTCTCCTCTCTCTGTCCCTGGGACCAGCTCTTCTCTGTAGCACTCACTAGGGGGTATTAGTGGCCTTTGGCCCCCAAATTCAACCAGTTCCCTGACTTCATGAATTTTTCAAACTTTTCTCACCATAATCTAGAGCAAACCCAATGTCTCAATAACATCTCCAGAAACATACATATGAACATATATGTGCATATAGATGGCCTCGTGTTTGATAAAGTACCATTTCTGCACACTGCAGTTCAAAATTTCTATCCCTTTAAACATTTGGATTATGATATTCATGGTCTACCAACGTGCAGATGATAAAAACCTAATTCTAGAGCCAGGCACGATGGCTCACTCCTGTAATCCCAGCATTTGGGAGGCTGAAGCAGGAGGAATGCCATGAGTTCCAGGCTATCCTGGTCTACATAGTGAGTTTTAGGGTTAGGTTACAGACTGAGACACTGATTTTAATGTGTGTGTGTGTATTTCTAGAAGTTCGTAACAGGGACTGGAAAGATGGCTCAGTGGTTAAGACCCAGGTTCAGTTTCCAGTACTCGCAAGGTGGCTAATATCTGTAACTGCAGTTCCAGGGCATCCAACGCCCTCTTCTGGTCTCCATGGGCATTGAATGAATGTGATATACTTAGATGCAAGTGAGACACTCATACACATAAAATAAAAAGTTTTAAATAGGGGCTGGAGAGATGGCTCAGCAGTTAAGAGCACTGACTGTTCTTGCAGAGGACCCAGGTTCGATTCCCAGCACCCACATGGCGGCTACAAACTGTCCTTAACTCCAGTTCCAGGAGAATCCAAAGCCCTCTTCTGACCTTCATGGCTTTGCATGACACGGGTACACTCATATACATGCAGGCAATACACTCATACACATAAAATTTTTTTTTAATTTTAAATAAAAAAGTAAAAGTTCATAATATTATTTCAATGTTCTTCACATTTTTTCTTTTTTGTCTTTTTGAGACAGGGTCTCTCTGTAGCCCTAGCTGGCCTGGAACTCACTATGTAGATCAGGCTGGCCTTGAACTCACAGAGATCCGCCTGCCTCTGCCTCCGAGTGCTGGGATTAAACGCGGGCACCACCGTGCCTGGCTCTTCACATTTTTTCAAAAATGGAATAAATTGGCTAAGTTTGGTGGCACAGGCCTATAATCTTGTAATCTCAGCTACCTGGGAGAAGGATCAGAGTTCAGGGCCTGCTTGGGCTATAGAGTGAGTTCAAGGTCAGCCTAGGCAACTTTGAAAGACCCTTTGTCAAAATAAAAGTAAAAAGAGGGCTTGGGATAGAGTGCATCCCACTGCATCATGCTTGGCCTCACCTTTCGGAAGGACAGCTCCACGTCCAGGTCCCCCTTGAAGGTATACTGGGCCACAGCCTCTCCGTACTCCACCACCTGGTAGGTGGGGGGCTTGATGGGCTTGGGGATCTCATCTGCAGGCAGCACCTTCAGGAAGGAAAGTCATGAGAAGGAAAGATCAGCTGGAACATCAGCTGGGGACACACTTGTGCTCCTGGGAGAGAGAGCAACAGAGAAGACAGCACAGACAAAGCACCCCCTGGCCAGATGTCAGCTCCACACACTGACACCAGACACAAGCCCTAGGGGTGTCAGGGAGAATAAAGGCAAGTGTCATGAGAGGGGCAGTCCAAGAAGGATTCCTACAGGAAGACTTTTCAATGGAGGGATGTGTAGGGGGACTGGCAGAGCAGGAATGGCAAATGCAAAGGAGGATGCCAGTTCAGGTAGAGAGAAGTCAGGCCACAGATATGGATCAAGAACCTGAATTAAACAACAGCCTACTCCAGGAATCAAAGAAAAAAATCACAAAGGAAATGAGAAAACAGTACAAATTGAATGAAAGAAAATCATAACTTATAGGCTGCAGCTAAATACTTCACAGCTAAAGGGGTGTTTGGAGGGACATTTATAGCATCAAATGCCTGTATTAGGAAGTTTCCAATCAGTCACCAAAGCTAGGTTGAGACTGGAAGATTGCCAAGAATTTGAGGCCAGCCTGGGCTACATAGTGAGTTCCAGGCCAGCCCAAGCTTCTGTGTGACTCTGTCTAGGACAATAAAAAAAAAAGCTAAATTTCCATTCTTAGGAACTAAAAAAGGAAAGTCAAATAAACCTCAAGCAAAAGAAGGAACTAATAAAGATGAAGTAAAAAGCAAAACAAGAGAGGAAATTAATGAAATCAAAAGCTAGATCTTTTAAAGAAAGTTAGCTCTTTGAAAAGATTGAGAAAAGTATTAAATCTATAGCCAGAATAAGAAGACACAATTAGGAACAAGAAGACAGATCATTACAGATCTCACTGATGTTAAAAAGGTTCTGGAGAAATGGCTCTGCAGTTAAGAGCACTTGCTGTTCATGCACAGGACCTGAGTCCAGTTCCCAGCACCCACCCACCCACATGGCAGCTCGCAACGGCCTGGCCTCCAAGGGCAGCAGGCATGTACGTATGCAGGCAAACACTATACACATAAAATAACATAAATCTTTAATAGAAAGATTAAGAGAGTGGGATCAGGGAGATGGTTCAGCTAGGGTAAAAGCCTGACGACCTAAGTTCAGAGCCTCAAAACCCATGTAAAAGCTAGACTAAGTGCAGCAGCAAAAAAAAAGACCCTGACTGTGCTGGACAGCTTTAGTGTCAACTTGACACACCTGGGAGCCTCAATTGGGGAATTGCCTCTATTGGACTGGCCTGTGGCCATGTCTGAGGGGTATCTTCTTGATGAGTGATGTAGGAGGGCCCAGCCCACTGTGGGTGGTGCCTCCCCTGGGCAGGTGAGCCTGTGTTGTATAAGAAAGCAGGCTGAGCAGGGGCCAGGAGAACAAGCCAGTAAACAGCGTTCCTCCACGGCCTGTGCTCCAGCTCCTGCCTCCAGGTTCCTGCCCTGAGTTCCTACCTTGGGCTCCCTGATGAACTGTGACCTGGGAGATGTAAGCTGAATAAACCCTTTCCTCCCCAAGTTGGTATTGGTCACAGTATTTTGTCACAGCAATGAAGAACAAACTAGGACACTGACTCAGGGTGGAAAGCAAGAACTGAAACCTGATTTCGCCTCTGACCTCCAGAGCTGCTGACAGCATTGCATGCCCTCATAAACAAGCACATATACATAAAAAGTAAATAATATTTTTTTACTTTTTAAATATTTTATTTATTTTTATTTTATGTGTCTGAGTGTACTGCCTGCATGTATGTGAGTGCACTCCGTGTTGTGCAATGCCACGGAGGTCAGAAGAGGGCTTCGGATTTCCCTGGAACTTAAGGACGGTTTGTAGCCACCATGTGGGTGCTAGGAATTGAACCCGTGTCCTCTGCAAGAGCAATCAGTGCTCTTAACCGCTGAGCTATCTCTCCAGCAAGTAAATAATATTTTAAAGATAAGGGAATATTATAAACAACTTCATGCCAGTGACTTAGTTTGATATTACTTAACATACAAAGACTAAAAATAATCTCTAGGCCTTTATCAAGCCCAGAACCTGCATTTAGAACATGAGTCTTCTACTTAATATAGAGACTCTATAAAATGGGGTAAGGTAACGATGATCAATCCCCAGGCAGTGTGAGGTAAAACTGAAAGAAACAGTAGATTGGAACTGTCTCACACTTCACACTCTTGCTAGTTGCAGCTATCCACCCCCCCACCCCACCACCCCACCCCCAACCAAGAGAGCTTTAGAAAGATGAGTTTGAGTGATCAAAGTCTGGGACACTGAAGGGATGGTGGATTCTGGGCAATAAACTGGGTCACTTGTTTCTCCCCTAGGCTAGATGAGTGAGCCCTGGGCCAGGTGCTTGCAGGCCAAAGGCATTCAAGAAAGATGGCCCCAGCCCCTCACAGTTCTGTAGGAAACCTGGGGTCAGCAGTCTAAGTCTCTCCCAACCCATGGACCCTCCCAGCCTGCTTGCTCCTGTCCCTCTCACTCACCTCCACATAATTAGCAGGGAAGATGCCCTGTCGGCCATGGTGTTCCCCTTCCAGCCAGTTCTTGTCCACCTCCTTATGGATGTAGACAATGTCACCCTTCTGCAGAGTCAGTTCCCTGAAGGGGATAGTAAGGATGTCACAGCAAGCTGAGGCCCCCGAGCCTCTTTCCTTTAGACCCTGCCCTGTGTACCATAGTCCACTTCCACCCCCTGGGGATACCCACTGAAGCCCTGCTCTCCTCTGCCCCGCTTCATGCAGACTGTGCAGCGTGGACCAGGAAGGGCTAAGGCCACTTACTTGGGCGACTGGGCCTGGAAGTCAAACTTGAGCCGAGCAGCCTTCCTCTGGGCAGGAGGAGAGGACAGAGTGGGCTACCTCACCAGACAGGGCCCTGCCCAGACACTCCCTGAGCCCTGACCCTGGTGCACATCTTACCTTCTTCTCCTCCTTCCTGGCCGGGCTGCTGCCCCTTTCAGAGGCACTAGGCTCTGTGGAGAAGCACCACTTCAGCTTGGGAGGTCATGTCTGAGGGGATGGGGTTGGGATGGGTTATGCTCCCCACCCCCACCCAGGTCAGGCACAGGGAAGCAAGGGGCTCTGTGACCTTCCTGGCCCCCACCCTCCCTAGGCTCGTAGAAGGACATCCAGGTGCCAAGAAAAGCAGGATTTTCCTTACCTCGGGTTGAGGAAGGGTAGACAAAATCTCTCCGTCCCAGGAAGGGGCTTCCTCCCCCATCTGCCATTCTGTGGGGGCTCAGGGATCCGGGGCAACCCAGGAAAGGTGCATGCGGGGAGCTAGACCTCCAGACTGAGGCTGGGCTGCAGGGACACACAGTGAATCACCTGTCTGGGACTTCACCCCCCTCGGGACTTGTCCCCTTACCTCCCTGACCCCCCTCCAATCTTCTCGCTACCCCCATCCAGGCCCCAGTCTCCCCAGGCGTCGTCCCATCTCAACAGGATGTCTACTTCCCCTGCAACAACGGCCGAGTAGGGTGAGGCCTTGGGCAAGGAGAGGCGGGAGGTGGCTGGAGTGACCCCAGGACACGGCGGGGCTCGGGTCCCACGGCCACTAGAGTCCTCGGCTTGGGGCAGGTGACCCTCAAGGGGTGCGCGGGCAGCCCCTGCTGGGAGCTGCGGCTGCGGTGCCCCGGGGCCACTTTTCTGCTCTCCAGGCCCCTCCTTCGGGGCTCGGCTGTCCCCCATCGTGGGCCGGGCCAGCGCTCCCTAGCCGCCCAGCCCACGCCACGTCCCATCGTGGCTGCCTGGGACCGACCCTCTCCTGCAGCCCGTCTCCGCCACTCACCCGGGCGAGAGCCCCTGCTCCGGGGCCGGCTGCTCCAGGGTCCGTCGGGGCGCCTGCGAGCTCTGTGCGGGGACACCGGGCGCGATCAGAGCCCAGGACCCCCGGGTCAGGGAGGGCGAGGCCGCCGCCGCAGCCGCAGCCGCCGCCGCCTCCGGAAAAGAAAAGTTCGTGGCTGGGCTGGGAAGGAGGCCGGGGAGGGGCGGGGGACGCGGGGTCCTAAAGGCGGGCGGGAGCCGGGCACCGGAGGAAGCGCGCGGCGGAAGCCAGGGCCGGGCGGGTCGGGGGTCCCTGGGGCTGCGGCTGGGGGCGGGGCGGGGTGGGGGCCGACGTCAGCCTGGTGAGGAGCTGGTGGGGAAGGGTTCCTAGGGGTCACTTAGAAAGTACACGCCTTGTGTTTGGTCGAGTGGACAGGGCTGAAGTCCGCCCAAGGTCGCCCAGGCCTCTAGGTAGGTCTGCTGCCCTCTACCCCCAACTGCGGTGGCTAACCTGTCCTTCAGGAGGCCCTGAGGAGGCTGGTACCTTGGGGGATGGCAGGCGGGTCTCAATGGCCCGCAGGTCCTTGTCAAGCTCTGCACTCAGCTGGGCCAGCTTTCCCCAGGAGGGCCTGGGGGGGGGGGTACATAAATCCGGGTGGGGGTGAGGATGGGGCAGTGCAGTGCTGGGGACTGGTCATAGGTGAGAAGTAAGAAGCTTGGTTCAGGGGACAGGCCTCAGGGAGAAGACCAGAACAGGCTTCCATGCCTTCAGGCATGCCTCTAGGTTAATACACAAGGTGTCAGGTTGTCCCAGCCACTGTCCCTAACCCAGGACTCCAGAATGCAGACAGCACCTTAGTCCTTCCTGATTTCAAACCCCCCCCCCCCCATATTCTGCTTCAGAGCCTGAGGAACTGCTAAATTCCTTTCCTTTGGCATCTATGACCTTCCACAGCCTTTCACCATGCTATTACACTCTAACGCATGCATATACACATGTGCTCACGCTCCTCACCCCACCTCCACCCCCAGGCTCTGCTTACACGTTCTCCCCAGAGCCACCCTCTATCTGGCTAAACTCAGCTCCATATTCATGAGTGTTCCTGACAATTCCAGTCCACACTGACCCTGCCCTTCTACTCTGGTCTACACATATTCAGTGCATGTTTACTGAACACCTACTGTTTGCAGGCACTGTCCTTGCCACTGGAGATCAAGTTTAAATGTATGGGGCTGAGGAGAGTCAGAGCCTTTGATGCATGTCTTTTACCCGAGCCCACTAAGACATTACCCAGAGTAATTCACCCCTATCCACCCGACACTGCTGTCCTTCCCCCACCTTCTGGCAGCACTCACCTCGATGGGCTGGGAGGGTTTCTCAATAGGGTCATCCACCAGTGGTTTCTTGGGCTGGAGGGTGGGGAGGTTACACCAGAGGGGGTGAACTCACTTTGAACGTGCTCCATCTGAGGAGTGTGTCCAGCCCCCTTTGGAGGACCTGGGCATCACTTACCTTCTGTCCAGGCTCTAGTTCTTTCAGAAACTGGTTCCAGGAGTCTTCTGACCAGACATTCTCTACTTTTTCTCGACGTCTGGGTACCTGCATGGACATGGGTGGCCATCAGTTTGAGTGCAGTGATACTAGGCTGTATCTAGACTTTATTTTTTAATTATTTTTATTTTATGTGTCTGAGTGTATTGCCTGCATGTATGTGAGTGCACGCGTGTCATGCAATGCCACGGAGGTCAGAAGAGGGCTTCGAATTCCCCTGGAACTGGAGTTAAGGATGATTCATAGCCGCGATGTGGGTGCTGGGAATCGAACCCGGGTCCTCTGCTCTTAACCGCTGCGCCATCTCTCTAGCCCCTTTATCTAGACTTTAAAGGCAGGTCTAGTCCTCCCTGCTAAGCCCACTGCTCCCCTGCTAAAAGCTGAAAGGACATTATCTGAGCTGTCTTGAGCAGAGGGGTGTGGCCAGAAAACACACAGCTGGGGACAGTGTGGGGAGCATGCTGGGTGTTCTACCTGATTCAGGGGCTGAAGCCCCAGAGAGGATGTTCCAGAATTATAGTTGAAGGTGTTTCTAGGTGTCTCTTCAGAACGGTTCCAGCTTCTTCTGAAGGAAGGGGAAGATATCACTTCAGCTTCCTTTCAGGAAAACTGAAGCAGACTAAGTATAACCCAAGGAGAAGGGGCTGCTCCCCCTCCTCAACTCCTGTTCTCATTTCTATAGAAGGGCCTATGCTCCCTCTGCTTTCTCTGCCCCTTACTGTGGAGGTGGTTTTATAAACTATACAGTGTGTGAGCTCCAAGTTTAAATCCAGCCTCACCACCTAGTACCTATGTGACCTAGTAGCTATGGCAAGTCGTATGGAGCCTAGGGCTCAATACAAGTAAAATGGAAGTGACTGAGTAAGGGAACAAGTGCGAGGTGCCCAACAGAAGGCCCGATGCAAACATCGCTCCATGAGTGGCCAGGCTCTTTCTTGTGGTCTTGGGTAAAAGAACCCTAAATTTGCTGGGCATGGTGGTGCACGCCTTTAATCCCAGCACTCAGGAGGCAGAGACAGGCAGATCTCTGTGAGTTCAAGGCCAGCCTGGTCTACATAGTGAGTTCCAGGACAGCTGGGGCTACAGGGAGACCCTGTCTCAAAAAGACCAAAAAAAAAAAAAAAAAAAAAAAAGAAGAAGAAGAAAAAAAGAACCCTAAATGTGTGTTTGCTGTGATGTTTCTGTGCAGCTAGTTTTCTGGCCGCCATAGCCAAGTGGTTTTACAATTCATGGTCCAGGATATAGGACTATATCCTATTCCAAGGAAAAGTGGGGGGCAGCTGTGCCCAGAAGCCCTTGGGTTATTTCTGGTCCTTGGGTCTCAGTTCTATGGGGCTTATGGGGCTTGGATTCAGTGACAAAAATCTCTGTGGCCACCTCATCTACTGAGCACTTCGCTGTCCTATCTATCTGAGCTCTCCTCCAGCGTTCTTTCCTGTCTGGCTTTCATGTGCCAGTCTCTGGTTTTATTCTGAAAGTTGTTCAGTAGAACCGTAGCACTGAGCTTATCAAATGATGGAATGTCTGACCACAGGGTGAGGTTGACTATACTTAATGACTCTTCTGATTTCAGTAATAAAAAGGTGATCATGAGAATGGAATGTGTTATTTGCAGTGGAAGGAAACTAGTCATACTGGAACCTGTGTGTATGAATATCTGTAGACTTGTTATGTCTGTGCCAATCACACTGCAAGATGCATACATGAGTGTGTGCATTCAGTCCTCACAATCTCCTCCATGATCCCCACTTACAAGATCAAAACACTGAGGTTCAAGGTCACAGGGCTAGAGGCAGCGCACTGACTTGGACCTTAACACTGGGTCCAATCTGGACCTGTTGTTACTACCTCACGGATGCTAAAAGTCAGTGATAACTATGCTAATTAACTGAACTCTACCTTGTAAAGGTACAAGCAGCTACTGGATTTAACCATAGAGCACAGGTCCCTAAGGTAGAGCAGAGCACCTCCAGGGTCTGGCCTTCAGTATGGGGGAAGGAATTTCTTTCTATCCCTCTCTGGAGGTTATCTCTCAGCCACATCTGTGCAGAGATGTGGGTTCATTCACACTGCTGCTTTTCTCCCAAGAAGAAGGCCACAGGTTCAAGCTGCTATTAACGACTTCCATCCCTAGTGCCCTGGACAAACCCCCCATGCCCATGACCTCGGGACCTATGAAGGGTGGGTTCCTAATGTCAACTGTAAATGCAGGTAGGTGTTTCTTACCAGAGATGGGTGCCAGACCCACTCTAGGCTACGGTTCTCCTTTAATCTTTGTGAGTTGGAAATTTTGAAGTGATAGAGACCCTCTGGGCTTTCAGGCCTGCTCCCAGGCTGTGCCAGCTATGGCCACAAGGGGACACCATTCCATAGTGCCTGCATACAACTCACCCACTAGAAGTCACTGCTGTGCCAGACCTAGAGGCAGGTCTTTGCTGGGGCCCTAGATGCCTGGGGTCTGCAGAGAATGCACGAGAGGAAACCACTGGAGGTGAAAGAAAACAGGCCAGGACTAGGGTTGGGCAGTTGTTTAAGGCTGTGGCACCCACCTCCACCCTAGCTCCTGAATGACTGGCTCACAGGGACACAAGTGGGCTCTGGGTTAGTATGTGGGCTTTGTACCAAGAGCATTATACTACAAAATCTTCCAAATGGCTCAGGGCAAGTGGTGTCCCCACTGCACACATGAGAAAAGAGAAGCCCAAGGAAGTCTAGCCAGTGGCTGGCAAAACAAGGATTCCCTGGACAGAAAAGGAAGCCAAGGGTCTTAGTCACCTCCTACCAGGGGATTTAGTGTTCCAGAAAGTGAGCCATAAAAACCTCTTGAGTGGAACCACACCACCTGGGGATCCCCAAAGCCTAGGCCATACATCTCCAGGCTAAGGCAGACCAATAAACCCACACCGCTCACCTTTGGGCCGGTCCTCCAAGGTCCAGTCCAACTGCAGGTCTGGGGAGCAGAAAGGACTGGGTCACCCACCGATGGGACAGAAAGTGAGGATAGGGTTCCCCAGGAGCCTGCAAAACCTAGCTCCCAGCCTCCCTCCTGCCTAGAGCAGGGGCTGAGGGCTGAGTCAGGGCCTGAAGAATGTCCCAAGGGAGGGAAGGAATTAGGAGGGCAGCCCTTGGGAGGGCTTAAAATGCCTGCTTCTGGCAGCCTTTGGGTCTGGGCAAGCCAAATGGGTGGCAACCTTGCCCACACCCTCTGGCTCCTCCTACCTGTTCCCACACACACCCTCTCCTGACCTTTGCAGACCTGCCCTGGCCATGCCAGCTTGGGGGAAGCTAAGCTTCCTCTCTATCTCCTTCCCTTTCTGTACCCCTACTAAAATACTTTGCTTCTCACTGCCTAGATCCAACTCCTCCTGGGGTGTGGGGACTTCTGGGGGGCAGGGCTGGTGGAGGCTCTTGGTAAGAGGTACTAAACTAAAATACCTCTAGCAGGAGCCTACCTGCCCCTTCCTCTGCTGCTGGGGTTTCTGCCTTCTTCACAGCAAACCATAACTGATTGAATATCATGGCTACAATCCCTACTGCCTTCTCCCTACTCCATACTGCCCACCACTGCTGCCCCAATCACTCTGACCAAGGACTCAGGACCTCCATGGCACCCAGACTCATGGTCAACCCCCGACCCACTGCTGGCATTTGTCACAGCTCTGCCTTTGTTTCTGAAATGACCTTTCACCTGGCTGTGGGTGGTTACTCTCAGTTTTCCTCCCTTCTGGTCCTGTCCACCCCTTCAGTTTCTCGTCTGGTTCTTCTGTCTCTGGGGCTTCTCAGAACGCATATGTCCAGGGGCCTCATCTCCTGAGGACTTTTTCATTATCTCCCTACATGATCTTGATCTTGGCTAGTTCTTAAGGCTTTTTGGTGGGGAGGGTTGGTTTGGGGGTTTTGTTTTGTTTTTTTGTTTTTTGAGACAGGGTCTTTCTATGTAGCCCTGGCTGGTCTTGAACTCACTATGTAGACAGGGATGGCCTCAAACTCAAAAGAGATCCACCTGCCTCTGACTCCCAAGTGCTAGGACTAAAGGTATGTACCCCTGGTATCTTAAGGCTTTTCAAATGCATCCATTCCTCTATATCCACGGGTTCCATATCTGTGACTTCAACCAGGCCCAAATTGAAACTATAATTGTGTCTGTATTGCACATGTACACAGACTTTTTCTTGTCATTATTCCCTGAACAACAACACAGTAGAGTGTATATGTAGCTGTAGATATAGCATTTACTTTGTATTAGTTGTAAGCAGACTAGAAGTGATTTAAGGTACATGGAAGGATGTTTTCAGCTATGCAAATATAACTACCTGTACCTACATTTTGTTTTCAGGAGTTTATTTTTAAAATTATTTACTTTGTGTGTGTGTGTGTGTGTGTGTGTGCGTCTGTCTGTCTGTGTGTGTACACATGTGTGCCACAGTATACTTGTGGAGGTCAGAGGACAGCTTGTGAGAGTCATTTCTCTCCTTCTACCATGTGATTCCAGGGATTGAACTTAGGTTGTTGGGCTCAGCAGCAAGTGCCTTTACCCACTGATCCATCTTGCCAGCCTGTTTTTAGTTTTTCTTTTTCTTTGAGATGGGAGCCTCACACTGTAGGCTAGGCTGGATTAAACTTCATGGCAATCCTCCTGCCTCATCCACCTGAGTGAACCCACTCAGGCCCTCAACCTATGACTTTGAACACCATTTTAGCTGGGGTTCAAATAATTCTCAGTTGAGTAGTACACATAGTAAAACCAGGCTTGCTTTATGGCATCTTATACAAGCTTGTGGGGTTTCAGTATCTGTAGGGGTCATGGCACCAGTCTCCTTTGGATACTGAAGGATAACAATGGTACTTTCCACTCCTGTGATTAATGACCTTAGTGATAACTTAGAATTTCCTAGGGCACTTGAAATCACAGTCTCTTTCGAATGAGTCCCGGGTATTTCCATCTGTAGCTTAACCTTTACCTCTGAGTGGCTGTGACATGTATCTAAAACTGAACCTCTTAAACCTTCTTCCCCCTTGCACTCTTCTCTGTCTCAAAAATTGCAGCATCAAAGCTGGGCACACTTTTGTAATACCTGCATTCACACTCAAGAGGCTGAGGCAGAAAGACAGAGACATCTAAACCAGCTTCAGCTACATGAGTTCAAGCCCAACCTGGGATATATGAGACCCTGTCTTAAAAAGATAAAAACCAGCTGGGCGTGGTGCCTTTAATCCCAGCACTTGGGAGGCAGAGAGTACGGGGCTATCGCTAAGGAAAAAACAGAGGTACCTAAGCAAGGATTGATGATGATGACCGGAGTTTTGATGTGAAGGGCCAGAAGGAGGCAGCCTCATAAAAAGGGAGAGAAGACAAGCACTCAGAGGGCCAAGGCAGGAAGATCAAGAATTCAAGGCCAGTCTGAGCTATATAGCAAAGCTCTGCCTCAAAAATAATAAAAATAAAAACCAGGGACTGGAGAGATGGCTCAGCAGTTAGAAACACTAGCTGGTCTTGCAGAAGATCCGGGTTCGAATCCCAGCACCCACATGGCAGCTAACAACTGTCCATAACTCCAGTTCCAGGAGGTCCAACAGCCTCTTCTGTCCTCCGTGGGCATTGCACGACACGGGTGCACTTACCTACATGTGGGCAATACACGCATACACATAAAGTAAAAATAATAATATATTAAAAAAGATAAAAACCAAACCAAACAACAAACAAATGGCAGCTTCATACTTCAATTTGCTCAGGGTTTTGTTTAATTTATTTTTATTTTATGTGTACAAGTGTTTTGCTTACATGTATGTGCTATGTGAGTGCAATGCCCACAGAGGCCAGAAGAGGGCATCAGATCCCCTTGTTTGCCACCATGTGGGTGGTAGGAACTGAACCCAGGTCCTCTGCAAGAGCAGGCAATGCTCTTAACCACTGAGTCATCTCTCCAGCCTGTTTGTTTGTTTGTTTGTTTGTTTGTTTGTTTTGAGATAGGGTCTCACTATGTAGCCCTGGCTGACCTGGAACTCACTGGCTGGCCTCAAACTCATAGATATCCATCTGCCTCTGCCCTCCTGAGTCTTGTTCAGGTTTAAATTCATCCTTGATACTGCTCTTTCATGCCATGTTCAATCCATGAGCAAATTCCAAAAACTGTGCCTGGGACAGCCCTAAAATCCCCATCCCATCCCACTGTCCACTGCCTCTGCCCTGGCCTGGGTCACTGTGGGATACAGCCTGGCTCAAAGCAGAGCTTCTCTGCAGGTCTTTTTTCTCCCCTTACCAAGGGGAGTTGCCCACTGCCCTGCTCCCAGCATCTCTTCTATGTCTGGCACTGTGGGAGAGCCTTTGGCCCTCATGGTCACAGCTTGTCACTTTTCTGCTCAGAACTGCCCAGGGGCTGCTAAAGTCCTCATAGTGTTTCCAAGACCCAACAGGACCTGATCCCGTGACTCTCTCACCATGCACCCCCTCTCAGTCTAATCCAGGAGCTCCTGGATGGTCCAGAACTCACTAGATGTGCTTTTCCCTCTGGGTCTTTGAAGGTTCCTTTGCTGGAGTACTCATCCCTACACTGCATGGCTCAGCTCAAGGGTGCCTTCACAGGAGCTTTCCCTGACCATGCAGTGTGAGGTCACAGCCTTGCTACATTGGCTACTCCTCGGCTTTCTTTAGTATCCCGCTAGCACTTTCCACCATCTGCTACACTGAAGGTTTATCTGCTTATTATGTATCTCTGCACCTAGAAAAGTACCCAGCACACAGCAAGTACTCAGAGATAGGAAAGGATTGATTCAGTGAATGAGTAACCTTGTAGAGAGCTCATACGCAACCCCAGGGTTGGTGTCATTTGGGCTTGTGGAAGACACCAGTGCTTCATGTGAAGGAAGGACCACTATTGGTGACATTGCAGCCTGGCAGGAAAATGAGAGGGGTTCCAGGAGGGAACACTGGCCTCTCCGTATCTGCAGAGGACATCAGGGAACTTCAGCTGGTCATGTCCACCCAAGGATGCTCTGGAAGCCACAGCTGACCTCAAGCACTGGAAGACAGCAAAATTCCCTCTTCTCCTTCCTCCCTCTCTCCCTTCCTTCTTTTCTCCTTTTTTTTTCCAGACAAAATCTCACTATGTAGCCTAGGCTGGCCTCAAATTTGTGATCCTTCTGCCTCTGCCTCCTGAGTACTGGGATTACAGGGAGGGACCTCTTTTCATTGACCTATTTTTAGGAACCACTCACCTTAGAGCTTGTGGGGAGGTGTCAGAAGAATTCCAAAAGGAAGTAAATCCCTTTTCTGGCCCTCCCAAAAGAAATTTCAGATTGCTGGAGTCTATTGGGCCCTGGGAAGGTGTCTAACCTGGCATTTTCCGGTGAATCTGCTGGAACATTCTCCGATACCAGTCTCTGGGGCTGTCAACACTCTGAGATCAGAAAATTAAAATCAGGCTTCCCCATTCAACCATCCTTCCCAATACCAAGCCACAAGGGCTTTCCTTAATGAGGAACCTGGAAGTCCCTATAGGTGACTGGGGCCTGGAGAATATCTCTTGTAGTGTGTGTGTGTGTGTGTGTGTGTGTGTAGACCAGAGGTCTATCACTACCTTATTTTTTCCTTCTCAGTTTTTCTTTTACATTTATTATTTTAGGGGCACAGTGTGTGCATGCCATAGCTTGCTTATGGAGGTCAGAGAACAACCTAGGGGAGTCAGTTCTCTCTTTCTACCATGTGGGTTCTGGGGATCAAACTCAGGTAGTGAGGCTTGGTGACAAGTGCCTTTACCTGCTGAGTCATCTCACCAGCCCTCCACCTTATTTTGTGAGGCAGGGTCTCCCCTTGAACTAGACTGGCTAGCCAAGGAAACTTCTGATCCATCTGTCACCACATGCCCCCCCACCGTGGTTTGGGGTTGCAGACACACACTGTAGTGCCCAGCTTTAACATGATTGTACAACAAGCACTTTACCCACTGGGCCAACTCCCCTGTTCCTTTTGTGGTATCCTGATGTAGCAATAACTTCATGTGGCATGTTATGTATATAAAAGACACACAGAAGGGCTTCCTTCAGTGTATAGGATGCTAACCCCTCAATTATGAGATGTGCAGCGGTTTACATCTTCCTTTTTGTGCTTCTGCATTTGCGTGTGTGTGTATGTGTGTGTGTTTGCACATGCATGTGCATGCATATGCTTGTGAAGGCCAGAGGCCAACCTTGGGTATTATTCCTTAAGCACTCTCCACCTTGTTTTTTGAGACAGGATTGCTCAGTGGCCTTGAACTCACCAAGTAAGATTTTATAAGCATGCATCACCATGCCTGTCTTTTTTATGTAAGTTCTGGGGAATCGAACTCAGGTCCTCACGTTTGTACAGCAAGCACTTTACCGCTGAGCTATCTCCTCAGCCCTGTTTCTACATTTCTGATGTTTCTACAAAGAGCATGTGTTTCTATGCATTGTAGGAATAGTAACATTGTAGGAGAGAGGGCATTTCACATTACCCACCACTTATGGGCCTCAACACAGCCTTGGGAGGCGAGAAGGGTATGTGACCATGATGATACATGGCTGGCTCAAGACATGAAGGCAATGAACGGTCAGGGGCCCCAGCAGTTCTGGGTAGACTACCAGATCCTTCCCTGCCTGCCATGCTATGAGGCAATCTCACTCAGGACTCACGCTTCAGCCAATCATTTGGCAGCTCTTCTGTGAGTGCTATGCCAGGCCTTTGGGATACAAAACAGGCATTCCTGCTGGGTTCAGTCCATAAAGCATTGGCCCTCCACCTTTGAGAGCGGTACCACATACACATCTGTGATTCAGACACACAAGACGTAGGAATGGCCTTTAGGTCCCACCCCAATTTATCTCATAGAAGTAGAGCTCGGTGTGGGTCCCTGGCCCCCTCTGTCTGTGACCCCCAGCCCTGGACTCACGGATCGGGGGGCAATGGGCATGCCGCTCTCATCCACGGGCCCGATTCCCTCGTACTTCACCCAGCGCTTGTCCCGGTGCTTGTTGTCCTTGGTCCATGTGGCTGACCAGTTCTGGGCATGCTGGCAAACAGGGGGCTTCGGGCTTGCTGACAGCCGGCTCCCAGGGCCTGGCCAGGTCCGATACCATGTGGAGTCTTAGAGAGGTGTATATAGGAAAGCATTAGCTGAAAGGCAGGAGTCCCAGCTTGCCTTTATTTGTCTCCTCAGAACATCAATCCCTGTGAGTTCAAAGTTCAACCTCCTTATTTGGCTGAGTGACACAGACTCTACAAACCTCCCCATCCCCAGCAGCACCCCAGGCTTCTGTTTGTTTATTTCAAAGTGAATTAGAAATGGATTTTGTTTGAAGCAATCTGCGCCCATCCCTACCCCATTCTGTTTTCCTAGGACTGTCCTAAGAGTTTGCAGAAGGAGGACTGGGAATCATTACATGGAGAGAATGCTGGATGGGGCAAGGCAGATTCTGGGCTTGGGGAGAAACAGACTTAAATTTAGACACCAGCTCTGCTGTGTGAGTTTAGGTCCATCAATTACCCTCTTTGTTGGTGCCTCAGTTTCCAGTTGTTTAAACTGGGGATAACTGCAGCAAAGACTCAGTGACTTTTAGTCTGTGTCATTATGCCTAGCGTACACACACACAAAGGTGTTCTCAGAGAGCTCAGAAACTCATTCCCCAGGCATGGTTGCTGTGTCCCAAACTTTCCCAGAACCTTTAGTCCCTAAGTAGCTAGGGTAACAGCACAAGGGCTTTGAGGTCAGATGGCCAAAGATGTGGATCCCAGTGTAGCCTCGTTACTGAACAGCTCGGAGACTATAGCTTCTCACTGGGAAGATGTCCATAATTGAACCCGACTTTGCTAGAATGAGGAAGGATTAAATGAGGTTATGCCTGTGAAAATGTCTTTACAGTGTTTTCCGCTGTAACTGCTCAATAATTACTAGTTAAATGACTGAGGTCCTTTGCATAGTGTCTGCCTAGGGGAACACTCAATAAAGGGTACTAATTCCCTCGGGGCTGGATTACACCCAGGAGTTCCCAGGAGTTCATGAACCCTAGGACCCAGATGACAGGCTTTCAAACCGCTTCCCCAGTGTCCTTCTGGACTTCATGAGTGCCCTTAGGGTCTGAGGAGGGCTGAGTCCCTGCCCCTCCTTGAATCAACATTTTCTAACCTCCCATTTGCGTATAAGCCCCAGGCCTACTGTAGTCCCCTTGACCCCCTAAGGCCATGGCTCCTGCATACTCCTTTCCCCTGGCAGGAAGGAGGAAGGGCTGTGTCAGCCTGTTCTCTCTTCAAGGTTCCCTTCTCAGGGTCATCATAATCACCCAGACAGGAACCCTGAGCTGAGTTCACAGGTTCCTGGGTCTCTGCTGCCCTTCCATCTGGCCCAGTAGTATCAGATGACAGGGCACAGCAGTGCCAGATGGTAGGGCACGTGAGGCCCTGCCCCCCACCTCCCATATAAGCTTACTAGAGCAGCTCTTCCCAAGAGGACTCACCTGGCTGCTGAGAAGCATCCCTGCTTGGTGGGGTGTAGCCATTGCACACAGTCCTGGGCGCAGGGTCATGGAACTGGAAATTAAGGGTGTTGGAGCCACCATTCCGGATCACAGGCACCTGTGGGGAGGGGCCAGGAGCGGCAAGCTCAGGGCCCAGGAGTTCCACAGAAGTGGAAAGGGATGGCGGCCAGGGCATAGCTCACAGCCTGACCTTCTGGGGAAGCTGTGGAGGCTCTCTGGAGTTTTCTTCATACCCTCTTCCCTTCCTCTTATCCTTTTAATCCTCTGCTCCCCACCTGGCCTGCTGGTGTCCCCATCAACTGCTGGCCCACAGCAGTTGCTTGCTGTCCACTCACCCTTGTCCCTCGGGAGGACGACCCTACATGGGCTCGAAGGTGGCCAGGGATAAAATCATCCAGGCTGAGCCCATTGGTGGAGCCTTGCATGTTTGGGTCAAGATTGGAGGATATAGGGCACGCCAGCTGTTCCTTCGTGTGTCCTCTGCAGGGAAGGAGGAAGGAAGGGAAAGCCCTGCTGAGCTGGACTGCCTGGGCCCTCTTGGCTCAACCCACAGGTGGGGGAGGAAGGCTGGTTGTGGGAGGGGGTTGTGGCCAGCTGGGTGGGAGCTCAAGGACCCAGGAAACAGGCAGTTCTGCGCACCGGCCTGCAGGCTGCCGGTGGAGACTCCCAGAGGCACAATGGGCTGCTTGTTAGGCCTGGAGCAGGAGCTTTGGGTGGGAGTGGGGGAAGGGAGGCCAGGCTAGGAGGAGGAAAGGGGAGGCTGGCCAGGAGCAGGCCTGCAGCCTGCTGACCACCCCTTTGGGGCTCTCGGTGCCAGGATAGCCAGCTCCCCCGGAGGGAAGGCTCAGGGGAAGTAGGGCAGCGACCAGAGAGGCCCTGAGCACACAGGACTTTGTTTCCATTCCTCTGCCTCCCTCAGGCCCTGCCCAGCATTTGCTTGCTCACAGGGCACAAAAGCAGCCAACAGCAAGGCCACCCGTCTGTTGACCACTGGGAAGCAGCCAGCAGTACCCTCATTCCCACCAGGGCCAAGGAGACCATAGTCGGGGGTGGTCATTGCCAAGCAGAGAGCCACTCCTGTGCTTGGGGAATGTGGGCTATTCACTAGCTCCCTGTGTAAACCACAGCCCTAGAACATTCAGGGCCAGTGCCAGGTAGATGGAAAGAGACGCAGTGTGTGACAACACTCCTGTCCCAGGAGTGGTGTTGAGTGTGCTCCCACTTTCTGGTGCAAGCTGACACTTTCCCACCTCTGTAGGCCTCCAGGCTAGGTTTGAAGGGAGGGGTCCTCCTTGGCTGGCAGCACTATGCCTGACAGGCCAGTAGGTTCTCCTGTCTCACACAAAGGTCAACAGAAGGGAGCTAGGGCACCTGGGATATGGAAGTGAACAAGAGGGGATCCAAAGGCTGGCACAAGAGGAGGATAAAGATGATGTCATGGCTCTGGGACACAAGGTGGCTTTGGTACCTAAACAGCTGTGGTATACAGCCTGTACCCACTCACCTTCGTGGTTGGATTGGGCCCCAGTGGAGCTAACTTCTACCACTGAATCAAATCAGACTTGTATGTGCTTGTGGGGTCTATGGAGGTCCACAGCAAAGATACTAGATGCTTTGAGAGGTGTCCTGTGTGTGGTGAAATATACGGTCCACAGCAAAGATACTAGATGCTTTGAGAGGTGTCCTGTGTGTGGTGAAATATACATGCAGTGCAATGAATATGACTCTTTGGGGGTGCCATGGCCAGTTATGAGAAGGGTGATAGCTGAATAGAGGGTGAGGTGTGTGCAGCAGTCATATGAGCAACATAAGAGCTGTGGGTACCTGAAGGGATGAAGAAGGTATAATAGACACCTGTGAGTCCTTGTCTCCTGTACTTGTTCAAGCTGGGGGTAGCACCCTCTCTGGTCTGCATCTGTGGGGATTCCTCCTGACATCTGAACAGCCTATTGCGGACCCAGCCAGTCCTTGACCTGGGGTGTGGGGGGGGACGGCGGAGAGTGGAGGGCTGAGTCTGGAGGAGGGGCAGCCCACCAGCTGGATCTAATTAGACCTCTTACCAAACATACAGGCACACCCCAAATCCTGCTGTTTGGTCTCCCTCAGAGGGAAAGTGAGGCAGGGCAGGATGGAAGATCAGGAGGTCTGGGCAGGCCATTTATAGCAGCCACCCCTCTCTGCCTCTGCTGATGGCTTGAGGCCAAGTTGCCTGCTCAGCAGCAGCAGTTGCACCCATCAGCTGACAGGCCTTCCTTCCCTAGTGTTGGAGTCCCACCCTCCCAGGGTATGAAGAATACTCTCTAGGATGGGTAGAGAGGGGTCCAATCCCCCATCACCACCTGTTTTCTGGATCTGTTTACTCTGGGTGCCCCATCTGCTCTTCCTCCACTCAGCTGCATGTGAAGGCACCTCCAGAAATATACAGGGTAGGAATAGGTCCTGGTTTTTATCTCAGCGGCTCTGCCTGGAGACATTAGTCAGAACCTAAGGAAGCTAGAAACATCCTGGGGAATTGGTGCACTACTTAGCATAGAACAGAAGATGTCCAGATACCTACAAGGAGTTCCCAGAATTCAGGCAGCCCCTTCATCCAAGCAGCCTCTCCAAAGGGCTGGAAGAAGCATCTCTCCTAGGTTTGGCATGGCAAACTCCTTTGCACCTCGGAGTGAGGCCCCTGATGGTGCGGACTTCGCCCTCTGCTTCTCCAGGCAGGTCTTATCCAACTACAAGTCCCCATGGACACTTTTTTTTTTTTTTTTATTGCATTTTGGGTAGTGGAACTTCCAACAACTTTTAAGAGACTGGGACTCCGCGGGGAGGGGCTCTACGTCTTGATTGGGCTCGCTTCCCTCCCACGCAGCAGACTCGCTTCATCCCCGCCCCTCTGCGTCCCGGCACCTACCTTTCCCTGCGAGCAGGTGGCGGGGCTTGGGGCCGCCTAGGAGGGCAGGAGCATCCCTGCCTGGCTCCTAACTGACGCGGCCGCGGCGGGCCCTCGGGGAAAGAGGGCAGGGAGAAGTCCGAGCGGTCACGGCCCTCGTGACCGGGTCAGGACGCCGGGCCAGGCTGGACGCTCAAAGAGGGAGAGGGAGGCCGAGGGGGTGCGCTGGGAGGCAGGGCCGTCAGAGTCGTGCAGCGGGTGGAGTTTGGGGTTTGGATCTGGACGGTGGGCAGGGGCTGTGCTGGGTGGAGTGGACGGCCCGGCTACTCCCTCCCTCGCTCCCTCCCTCCCTCGCCAAGTGCCCCGGGTCCCGAGCACCACGGGGATGCTGTGGCCCCTTGCCCAAGGGGCCGGGCGGGCGGGGAGGCGGCGCCGGGAGGGGCCACGAGGGTCCCCCGGGAGCCCGCTGGGTTTCCCAGCTGCCTTCCCCGGTCCCCACCGCAGGGCTGGCGTCGGAAGGGGGCGGGCGAGCTGGCTAAGGCCACTCAGAGTTTCCAGCGACATTTCCAGGGTGTGGGAAGCGAGCTGCTGCGCAGAGCCAGGACAGAGGGCAGGAGTGATTAATCGGAATGAGCCGTGAGTTTCAGAGCCTGGGTGGAGCTAGCAGTTGATAGCTGCCCCTGGGAGGCCAGAAACAGGCCCGCGAGGCAGACAGGCTGGGACTCAGATAAGGGCGCCCCACAGGCAGGGTGGCTCAGGAGCGAGGCGCGCTCCCCGCCCTTGGAGAGAGTCTGCGCCTGCGTAAGCGTGTGCAAGCAAACACTCTGTGTTCAGGCAACCGTGTGGATTCTCACACACGTGCAAGCTCAGAGAGGAAAGAGGCCTAAGGCAACGAGAGTCTCCCTGGGCGTGCCGTGTCCCTAAAGAGGATGAGGGTGCGGTCCCTAGGGCGGGGATGAAGTTAGGGTCTCGGTGTTCCCACTCCTATTTGTTTTGTTCTGCCTGCTTTTCCGCTGTTCCCGCTGTGCTGATTTGGATCCCAAGGGCCCCGCCCACTGGTTCCCCATTCACTCTGGCCCTCCCTCTTCTCCTGTCCTCTTCTGAAGTCTCCTTGCTGGCAGATACCCAGATGTGTACAAACTGTGGAAGCCCTGGAGTACTTCTAGCCCGTGGCTCACCTCTGGCATCCTCAAGTCCTCAACAAACCAGCCAGCAAAAATGGTTATTGATCAACTTCAACTAGGTGTTGGGAATGGTCAGTGAGAAATGATGGAAACACTGTGTTGATTGGATACCTATTGGTTTGATTGGTGCCTGAGGCCACCCTGCACTTGAGTGTTTTTCAAGCACATGGGATTAACTCAAAAGAAAGAAAAAAAAGACCGAGCAGTTTCTAAACGCTAGCACCCTCTATGCTTATTAGCGTCATCTTTTCCAAGTTCCAAGTTAAGAGCTGTTGTGATGCACAAAAACAAGCGTGATCCCATGGGAAAGCTCAGGCTGAGGAGCAGCTCCAGAGACAGGTATGCCAGGGGCCCCCATGGCTTATGGTCACAAGGTAACATTTCCTAGGCTCCACAGATGTCAAACTGCTTACAGGGCTCCAATTTGCCAGTTATGAGGTATTTTTACAGATTTGGGCAAGTATTGCACAGTGCAGGGGCTGAATGAGACAACTTTGAGGTCTTTTCTGAGAGTCTCTACCTGCTTCTTCAGGGAAGCTGAAGAGATAGAGGTAGGGGTGGGCAACCAATGCCCAAAGAAGGCACTGCAAGAGTGGAGGAGCTCCAGGACCCTCCTTAAGGGCAGGCAGCAGTGCACTGCCCCTCTGAAGCTTGACTACTCACCCATCCCTGGGACCCTGCCTCTTCCCTCCCTGCAGGGCAAAAGAAGCACCCATTTCCCTAGTTCCAGTTTTCCCACCTGTCGGGGTCCTTGGGACTAAGAAGGGCCACATCACTTTCGTTTTCTTCCTTGTTTTCCAAAGATGGCGAAGCTGAAGAACGTCCACCTCCTGGAATCCTGGCCATACCCCCTCACCACCAGCAAGTTGCTTATTCTCTAGGGCTCTGACCTGGACTCCAAGATAAATATTTAATGTAGAGGGTGCCGCTGAGCTGCCAAAGGTCCCAGCTTCCTGTTTCTCACAAAAGGAGGCACAGCCATGGGCAAGGAGTTGAAGGCTGGCTACCAGTCCCATCTCTATGGGAATGGGGAGCTCAATAAACAGCCTAGGAGGGGGCAGGGAGGAAAAGGGGCCCCACTGGAAAGCTGAGTCTTTTGCTTAGCCCCTTCAGCTCTGCCTGGCTACTCCAGCCCCGGCCTTCCTGGGCCAGCTTTACACCCTCTTTCTCAAGCTGGAGATCACAGTGTACTGTGTTCTGAGGTGTTTAGATGGCCTCACAGAACACAGGATGCAAGATCTCTAGGGCCTCAGGGCAGAACAACCTAAGGAAACTTGATTAATTCCTTCTTTTGCCAATATTTAGGGAGAATTTCTCCTCTTTAAAGAAGATTAAGGGGAGAAAAGTAGCCAGGTTCAGAGATTGGGCCAAGAACCAAGTGTCTGGTTTCCTGACACACCCCCCTCCCCCTGTCTGCCCGGCTTCAGCTCCTTGCTGCCAGCATGGCTCTGAGCTGGGCAGCTCCCAGTGGCATATTAGAGCCAGGTAACATGGTCCCAGATAGTGCAGCCCTGTTGAGCACGCCATGTGCAATCCCCTGCATACCCTCCTGTCTATGGGAGACCTCCTCATTAGTCTGCTGCCTGCCTACCTCAGGCACGGCCTTCAGTCAAGGGCTGCCTTGGCCACCACAGCCACCTAGGCCCAGATAAACAGTTATGTAATTGCTCTGTTTTCCTAGCTATCTGATTTCAGTCACCAGGAGCCACACCCCACCCCAGGCAGCCAATTCTGTCCTGCGCACATCCCTCCAGAGCACTCTGTCCTCAGCCACCAACTCTGGGCACCATTAGCCAAGTGACTACCCATGAGAGTTGAGAGTCTGCCCTTTGCCTGAGTCACACTGACATCTCCCCTGCTGCGGGGGGGGGCAGTTCCCCATGTTAAATAAAAGGTCACTGTTACTCCCTTTCTCCTCCCCAGGGACAAACCCCAGTACATCCATCAGGTGGGCTTTCAGGACCATTTTTATTTGTGCCCTCAAGAGTATCTTCTTTCTGCAGCTCAGAAAAAGATTAGCCAAGAACTTCTCTGGAAGGGGACTACAGTGACCCAATGGCAAGGAACAGAAGCCAAGTCACTGTGGATGCACCTAGAGACTGTTTCGTCCCCTGGGCTCCATCCTTTCTCCTGGGTCAGCTCCTGCAGTGCTGCCAGCTAAGTTCTACTGATGGCCCCTGTCTATGCCAGCCACTCATGGGAACAGGGGCAAGCAAGGGAGGAAAGTGAAGTGACCCATTTTGGGGCTTCAAAGGCCCTCTCCTGTGCTGACAGTGGCATGACCTGACCCATCTGGAACTCTGAGTTTTTGGTTTAGTCCACTACAAAGTGAAGGATCCCAGTACAGATCAGGGATGGTCAATGTGGGGCCTGGTAGACAAGACAGGTATGTAGGACCCCATGGAAATAAGAGAACTAGGCTTTCAGGCCTGCCTCACACAAATCTTTCCATGGCACACATATAATAGGTACCTCAGGGCTCTCACATCTAAATCCAAAGGCTATGAGAGAAATCATTTTCTGCCCAATTTATCTAACCTCTCTTCTGGGAGGCTCTGACATCTCACCAACCATGGGTCTCTCTCCTTTTTACAGTGGGGCACATAGGCACCATGGGCAGATGGGTGCCTTTTAGAAGAACCAAGCTGGATAAACTTCCTTCAAGTTTTTAGGGAAGATGAAAAGCCCAAATAGCTGTCTTTTAGAAGGCAGCCTTTATAAACAGATAAACACTTATTTATAAGTGATGACCTGAGGGAAGGCAAGCCAATTTAGCTCAGCCACAGAATCAGGAGCTGGAAAATTAGGTCTGTCCCAGCTGTCCTTCCCAGCTCAGGTAAACTGAGATAAGGGAGACAGAGAGTCGACTGGCTGGCCAGAGGACACCATGAGGTAGAGCTCTGGCCTCCAAACAAAGGATAACCTGTCTTCCTGCCTCCTTGAATTCTGATGAACTGTCTCCTTCACTGTATCAACATTAAAAGACTTAATTTACTCCTAAACAATTAATCTGCTGTCAACATTAAACAGAAAAAAAAAAGTCATGATCTTTAAAAAAGAAAAAAAAAAAAGTAAAACCATCTAATTACCTATAGCAGACTAACAAAGTAGGGATTAGAACCAGATCTAGCAAGGGGTCAGTGTGACTCTGCATGTCCTACTTCCTTTCTAGGCTCTTAAGAAGCTTCCCACGACTCTGTAAATAAGGGCAAACATTACCTCATCTCACTGGGCTTTAGCTAAGGGATAAGGACACTGTTAACACGGATGTTACTGGGATAACAGAACCTAAAATGTTCATTGGCTTTTGTGCAGTTAAAACTCTGGGCTCATTTTTTTTCTGCTCCGAAAACTGCACTGTGGCTGTACTCAATACAAAGGTGCTGTTTGGGGTTAGCATTTCTACTTCCATTGCCATAATCTGTCCAAGTCCCTCTCCAAGGCCCCAGCCTTTTCCTTGTGCTTAGCCCCTGCTTGTGCAGAGACACTTATCTGTTCTTGTGAATCCACAGCCCCTTGGTATCTAACTAATGTTCAGAGGAAGGGAAAGGCTGGTCTGATACTTCTGAGCTTGGCAGTCCAACTCTACACCAACTCTCCTCTGGCTTCTGACTTTTCCCAGGCTGGAATTCACCCATGTCTATTGTTGGGATCATATGCAGACTTATTAACTATCATAAAATCTATTTTTATGCTTGGTAAAGACTGTTTTCTGGGTTGTTCTTTTCTTCAAGGAGGGGCCTCTGCTAGAGAGGTCACAGAAGGAACAGGGGCTTGAGTAGGCATTAGTGGTGGGCATAATGCCGAGAGGCAGCCAGGGGCAAACGAAGGGGGCTTTAAGTGGGGAAAAGTAGGAACTCATGAGCAGCCACCAGAGACTGAACTAAAAGACTGAGGGATAAGACATCCTTTTTGTCTTGAGGGAGCCCTCTCTTGGGAAGGGAATTCCTTGGCATTGTCAGAGACCAGATATCAAAAGCCAGGCTTTCCCTCACCTCTGGACTAAATGGATCAAAGCCAAATTATCAGTAGTACCTCCACTAGAAAATCAAGGAAATAAAAGACACAGGGAGTCAATGACAGTATTCAATTTTAAGGGTATTTTCTTCTTTCTTTTAATCTTAAAGATGACTCCAATTTACAGTAAGAAAGTTCTAACAAAATTTTATTCACAAAAAAGGACTTCTTAAATTTCTGTCAATAAGTAACATCTTCACTAGAGTCTTTAACATAACTGACAGCAAGAAAAAGCAGGTAGCCTCTAAGTACAGCCAAATAGTCCATCATTCAAGAAAGCCTCAAAAAACCTGCACCAGCCAGCCTTGGATGCCCAACTGCCTCATCTCTTAGGCAGCAAGAACAGGAAGCTTTCCTGGAAAACATCTGGTGACACTTCTAGTGGGGAAAACAGTGGATGGCTACAGTGCAATGGGGAAGAGAACGAGGTGCTCTCCATGGCATCTTCACAAGGTTCTGGGACACACATCATCTTTTTCTTTTGGCTTTTTGAGACAAGATTGTCCTGTAGCCCTGGCTGGCCTAGAACTTGCTATGTAGACCAGGCTGGCCTCCAACTCATAGAGCTCTGCCTGCCTCTGCCTCCTGGAGGGCTGGGATGAAAGGTATGTGCCACTGCATCTGGCTCTGACGCTCTCTTTTTAAAAAACAAACAAAAATACATGGGTTCTCATTATGTAGCCCTGGCTGGCCTGGAACTCACTATGTAGACCAGGCTGGCCTCATATCTGCCGTGATCCTTTTGCCTCAGTCTCCTCAGGTGTGAGCCAAGCCAAAACCATGTATTTATTTCTCCCAAATCACAATCTATGGTTGCTTCCTTTTAATCACATACACTTCTTTGACAAGCCCAAAAGAAAAATCTAACAAGGATGTGGAGGTACTTGGAGAGCTGTAGCAAGGGAGTAAAGGGAACGTGGACAAGGACTTACAGGCAAGCAGTGTGCAAGGCCCTACTTCAGAGCTGCACAGAGGGATGGTCCATGTCCACATCCTTGCTGCTTGATCTGGAACCACCTAGACTGGGCATGAGGGTGTTGAAGATGCATAACCCTGGCTCAAACAAAGGTGTTATTTAGCACGCCTTGCCACAGTTGCTGGGGTGTGAGGTCAAGGCCTCCCAGGAGGGAATGTGCTCCCAGTATCATCTTTGTGACTCCATAGATGAAGGCAGCTAACACTGACCCCATTCACTTTGGCTGGCTAGACAGAGGTAGGGCAGATCCCAAGTCCCAATGTCATGTAGACTCCCTCTCTCAAACTGTCAATGGCACAAAGCCTTATTGTTAATTCAGTTTGCTGCTGGCATCCAAGATCAGAGTACTGACCATGTCCTTTGACTAATAACTTTCTTTTCTAAAGACATCTGGTTTTTCTTATAGCTTTCCTATGAGTTTCTGACCACAACAAGGCCTTAAAGGGACTATGGCAATACCATGCTTCAGAACTGTCCTTCACGTGACCTAAATACCCTTCAGTGTCTCACTGGGCCTAGCAGATGGCAGGAAAGATGGGGATAGGATGCCAGAGGAGATGAAACTCGTGGTTATAACCACAACTAATTTAAGAAATTGGAGCCTCATACCCAGGATTGGGGCTCTAGGTTCACTCTTCCTCCAGATTTTTTTCTGCCTGGGTAGGGAAAGCTGAAAGCAAGAGACTTGGGTTCCACTGTTACTATAACAACCAGGTTATATATTGAGGGTTCTAGAATGTTGCTTCAGTAGTCTTCACTGGTTAGGGACTAATTTTCAAAAAAACACTGGGGAGAAAAACCTGATGATTAATATAAAGGAAAACTATACAGTTTTCAGAAATCCCATGTTTACTCCTTAATGACATCA